GGGAAAGGCGATGTCACCGCGAGAGCAAAGTTGGCGTAGTCGGGCTTCACTCAAAATTTTCCGAAAGTGGTCTAGGCGGCGAAGCTCCCGAAAAATGTCAATTTAGGGGTTTCAAAGGCTTATTTAACCGAGTCTACTAATAGGTCTATGTAGAAAATACATATACAGTAATTTGTATTTCTCCCCAACGGGTCTCTCCCCCACCCACTCGCTGGCGCCACCCCTGAGCAGAACGAGCAGTAACGTATAGGCCTACTGTCAAACTGCCTACTGTGCAGCTAAGGACTGATGCAACTGATGGGAGTGTGAGTCAGTTTTGGAGGGGTGTGCACCTCCCCCACACACCTCCCTAGATACACCACTGTTTCAAAAGGCCATCGATCAAGGTCCAGGGGCCAAAGACTCAAAATAATATTGCATTCAATATTATATTTTGACAACTTTTGAGCAATATACTTTAAAAAACCGTTTTTTTTTCTTGCTCCCTAAAATGGATATTGGTAAAGACATACTCAGTGTGTCACTTCGTATAAACTAATCTTGTTAATTTCATACATAGCCATTAGGTACTTTTTTTAGTGTATAGGTACTTTCATACAGTATAGGTTTCCAATCCATACCTGCATACTGATTTGTCATTACTCATGTTATTGTATCTTGGGTATTCAATAGAAAGCTCAACAAATATTTTAAAAAGGGTTATTTGCTCACTTAAATCATGAAACAATACAAATTTTGTTTCAATTACTTACATTTAATTTGATATGGCATCATATCATAATATATTTTATTTACATTGCAAGTAATCATACAAATTAGTTTAATTTTGTTGCAATTCGTTCTTAGGTCAATTAAAATATTATCATAAAGAATCTAAGACATCGATATGGCTATGTCAAAAACCCCTTACAAAGGGGATAATTTCAGTTCTGATTGGTGTACTCAAAATATAGGGGTATCCTTATCCAGGGGACACCCTCATTAAGGTGACAATTTGATATCACCTTAAAAATAGGGGTTCTACTCTAATTTAAAATGTAAAAATATATGTTTTGGTTTATAATTGCAGAATACTAGAACATTTGCTTTTATGGTTTAGTAACCTCACACACTCATTATTTTGTTTCTGATATTTCATTAATCACTAGGCTGCTGTTACAATCACTTCTGAAGCCTGTTCTCCACTTGGCGAATTTATTTGAGCGAATCAAAAGCATCGGTTCATGCACATGCGCATTCACATTTATATCGGAGTTTTCGTGAAGCGAAAAAATGCGCAACCAATCAGAGCTCAGGAAGCGACCGCTGTTTTGATTCCTGTGGAAAACCAGCTTTACTGCCATATCCATGGTTAGTAAGACTCATTACTTGGTTATTAAAGCACACTGGGACCAGTGAGAAAAACTATGCCTGATAGCTGGGGCGGATGCAGGGTACAAAATATGTAGAGTGAATTTTGTGAAAAAAATATAACAATCAGATTCAATCAGTTTTTGAGTATAAGCAAGAAGAGCCAAGTAATTCATAAAAGATGATGCTTTAGACATGCGTTTTTTTTTTTTTTTTTTTTTTTTTTTTACGTATATGTGTACACATTAGTATAAGATTTCTCTGTTAATCAATATATCACTATATGCAATATCAAGCCTGTAGGCAGGTTTTCCAAAGGGGATGGGATTTCTAATTGTTCACAAAAGAGCTTTGGAGTTATTTTCAAAGCCTCTCACGCAATTGCTCCTTTTTACTAATAATTTAAAAATGGGTTTGTAACCCACCTAGTCGGCTTGAACGCGTCCTGTGTCATATTAACCCTTGCTACACACAAAAGCAGTCTCACTAATCAAGGTTTTGGAAATTACTAATAAGGAAATCACAGACGTTTCCAAACAACAAATATAGTTTTGTTGTTAATGATGATTACTAATTTCTTTTTACATGTAGTTTTGGTATCGTCAGCTAATTAGATACTTAAAACAACAGCAACCATGATATTACAAATGTAATTTTCATAAAGACTAATAAATTGATTATGATAAAAGTAGTTATTAATCTGCCAAGGTCATCTGTTTGTTCATCCAGTTCTTGAGGGCCTGTCAAAAAATGTATATAAAATTGAATTAGTTTTGCACACTACAATAATCATTGTTTATACTTGTTTCTTCTGTACTGGACTATATTTTCTGCACATAAGATATAGTTACAAGAATAATATCTTGATAAACCAAGTTAAAAGTCAGTGATGTATTACATGGAGAACAATAAATATTGCGGTAAATCACAAGAGAAAAGAGTACACATAAGGAATTCTAAAAAATAAAACTAAATAAATCTATAATTTATTTACTCATGTAGGCACACATTTTGTTTATTTATGCAGGCACACAACACATGCACAACTGTGTATCGTTAGATACCGCTAAGGCTAAGTTCACAAAATAATTTTCAATATGTGGTTTTGGGAGTGCAAGAAGAAAGTCCTGCAACACTGACAGGAATTGGACCCAGGATCCTGGGACTGGAAGGCAAGCATCTTAACCACAAAGCCATTCAACTCCACTAGATTCCACCATCTATAATTACAACTGCACATACCCTTTGATACCTCAAAAGCTGGGCACTCACTGCGTCGTGCGACGACCCCAACTCCGCTATCTGTGAGCGTTAAACAACGCAATGCCCGCAATGAGTGCCTGGCTTAAGGCCAAGTTCACACTTTCTACTAATGGTAGTTGCGACTTACACGGCATGAACATATTTTCGTATATACATTGGCCTGGTTGAGTTGCAGGCATGTCACTACCCTCACGCCAAGTGACCTAGTAGTCAATTGGCAATCCATTCACCATCACTAGCTGTGACCTCAGGAAATATTTGACCAATTGGCATTCAGCTCAATTCTTGAATTTGAAAAAGCATATGACCACTTATGCAACAGGTAGGTTTGTTTAAAGCCACCTCATGTGGATAACCGGACATGTTCACACTGAGCTTCACGTAGACTATGCCCGGAAAAGTCACAAGTGTGAACGTACCCATTGACGCCTGTATTAAAATCAAGCTATCTCACCTGTACACCATCTACAACGTTCTGACAATTCTCAGCAACAAAGTCATCAGGAAGATCTTTTTGGCCAATTAGTCTGCTAGCTTCCAACGCTGCCTCCCCATTGAACGACACAAAGCAGAAACGAACAGTGAACTCATCCAATGGTCGTAGAAATGATGGTCCTCCACCGATTACCTGAAATAAATAGAGTGCCATCGGATTCCTATTATCTAAGTTATAGGCACAGTTCGCATTCCAATTTAAGATCACTTTTGGGACTTTTGGCGTAGGCTGGGGATGGGGCAGTGGTGTGGATGCACCCCCCATAGCAATTAGTTCCACTGAGTTAAATACCCAAAATGACAATTCAATTTTCATTGGAAAAGGGATTGAATTTTGCACCACACCCCCCTCCCCCCACACAACCAAGATGAAATTAAACTACACCCCTGATAAGTCAATAGATTGAACACTAATTTTTACTTGTTTTCAGTGTGTTTCGTGGCTCATTTGTAAACAGCTTAAACAACGTGATGACATGATACCAATTAACTAATTAACAAACACCAATTAATTTCTACAACGCATAACTACCATCAAAATGTGGTACTGCATGAATTGATCCCAACCAGGTTAGAACAAGGAGAAAAAGTGTAATTCTACTGAAGTAGAATATTAATCAATGTGTTCAGTTGAGAATGATGTTGCTTTCATTAGTTTTGCTTACAGTCACTTGGGGGGGGGGGGGGGACAGCATTCATTCGATTAATAAATAACACCCTGGGGCGTTTATATGAGGGAGGCCTTTATTCCAAATGAGGCTCTGGATAGGGTTTTTATTCAAGGGAGAGGGTTTATTCAAAGCGGGACATTTATTTTAATGAAAACAGTAATATGCATACAGCAATTCTGGCTTCATCAAAGAGTGCATCACACAACTGCTGGCAGGTAGAGATGCCACGTTTCTTCAAGTACGGACGTAGAATTTCAAAGTCGGGCAGCATATAGTAACCAGCCTGTGACCTCATCACCTTCACCCCAACACTTGTCAACTCTCTACATAAATATAACACAAACAAATTATAAATTATCAACTTTTCTTTACAGTTTGCATAATTTGTTAGATGTACAGTATTTTCAAAAGCACTGTGCAGAAAAAATTATAGTAGCATATAGTTGCACCAGCATGCCACATGCATCCCCAAGCCAATTTTGTTACATTTTTGGCTAAAAACAAACCTTTCTTTTGCTTTGCCTGACACCAATAGCTTGCAATAAGTAATATTAATACTGATTAATACTGAAAGGTATTTTTTGGATATGTCAAAGATTGGGTGCAGCCCTTAGTGTTAAATTAAATATTTGTTTTGGCCCTCCAACCTATTTTTATGCCCACCTATGTTAATGAAAAAATATATATTTGTAAATTTGCACATTACTTTCTTGTTTTATAAATTATTGTTGGTTAATTTAGTTTATGGTTTAATTTCTTCTCATACGTTGTTGTTAGGCGCCTCAAGGTTGTGACAACGCGAGGCGCAATATAAATCCAAAATTACATTATTAATGAGCAATAAAAAATGAGGTAAACCCGCAACTGTCAATAGTGCAGTGAAATGCAAGAGATGCCTTCACGCTAAACCTACAAAGTTCAAATAGAGTATTTGCTAAAGACAAGGCGTGCAGCCTGGAACAAATAAAACGCTCTGAAGTCACAAAAAGGCAACTGATCTCAAGCATGCGCAAATAAACCCACCATTACACCTTCTTGACCTTCAATACAAGGGGTCATGATCGTGATTCAATTACAAGCACCCATTCATGCAAAATACTGTAGTGAATGTTGGCAATTATTAACTGATATTAATTCTAATTCTGTGTGAAAAGGAACTAAGTGATCAGGAAAATTATAGTTCACCGTAATATTAATTTTGTGTTTTTCTATTCAGTGGATATGTGTGCTTAAATTTTATTATTATTATTATTATTCTTTATTTTATTATTCATATTATAAATAAGATTGCAAAGGAGTTTTCACTCCCACAACAAAAACAAAAACAAAAAAAACAAGTACCTTTGTATTAAAGTAATTGGAAAAACTTAGAATAAAATTACCCACAGATGTTGTTTAACACTTGCCTTTAAAAAATATTGTAAAACTACAATAAATATATAACATAAATATTTCATAATACCATTCCATTTCTTTGAGAATAACCAATGCCAAACCAGTTTACAAATACTGTTTTGCATTTTTTATCAAATACTGTTAGTTATCTTAACTAAAGATTTTAGATCTTAAAAATTGATTTTAACAAAACTTTTTTTTAAAATTTTATTTCAATTGATTGACTTAAATTGTTGGTTGTAAAATCAGTTTCTATAGACATGCAGCAACCGCAATCAGCATATTTACTTTCCTAATGCACTCTCAAATATTGTCAAAATGTATTATTATAATATAATATGTGTATTGATGCTTATGATTACAAGCATAGTATGTGTTTTATGCATATAATCATAGAAGTACATATGAGGCAAAGACAAGCCAAACCAGCCACTCGTCGCAAATCTTGTTTCAGAAATAATGGCAAAAACATGCTGGAATGACAAAATTTTTGAAATCTATTTTATTACACTAAACTAACCTTTATATATCTATATATAATGCTATGCTGTTATTTTCCCCATTTTCAATGTTAAAACAACAATTTTTAATGATTTTGTGATGGTTTCTGCCTGAGAAATGCCCAAAATCATAAACTTTGAAGGCTGATTTCTCAAATATTAATGTTTTTAAAATGAAGGGCCTACTTATTGGATAAAAGCCTTTGGGCATGAACGTGATCAACCATGTTTAACTGGAAAACCAATACTCCTACTAACAAATACACACACTAAGATCAAATTTGTTTCTCATATTTCCAGTCATCAATTTATAATTTAGTTAATAATTGAATAATGGAATAAGTCAAGTAGGTTTATTTGAATCCTAAGTAATGGAAACTGTATATGTGCTACTGATATTTGATAAAGACTGCCTGGCATTGCCAATGTGCACAAGACCGAAGTCCAGCTTTCTATGATATGATTTTAAATTTATTTGATCCTGCAATAAGTTACTACTGTTATCATATTCAAACTTTCAATATGAATTGCCCACTTAAAGGAGTTATCAAGGCAATCCAACAAAAAGACACACAACCTCCGCTAATGAACACAGCGTGTTTGTATAGTCCTTTGTGGCATCGACAATCCAATACTAGTTGCGAGTACAGCCGTCAATTATTATTTTCACGTCTAAAGAACTGTCAGCTAGCGATTTCATCGGCTTTGTTACCTGCAGCAGCGGTTGATGGCTGCTCGTGTGACCGTCTGATTTGCCTCAGTGCGTAAGATGGCGATGAACCTTTCACATCGAGTTGGGCAAAACTCGCTACGGTATTAATACTAGGTCCCGAGGAGGTCTAACTGAAGCCGGCGTTTAGGCGTATTTACCTTTTCACATAGAACACCTGTTGATTCATAATTTATAAAATACAGTACATAGCTAGTATTAATTATAAACTTGATTCTTTTTTGGAAACTTTTGGAAAGGTATAGTATATTGAATTTATTTGTTTAAATTTACATTGTGTAATTGTTTTCCAGTTCACTGTATGTGTCTAATTAAAATATTATTTTGAATAAAGTGGAAAAAAGAGAGAAAATGAGATTGAACAGGATTTTTCTGATCTGCAGATTGATCATTATACAGATCCATCAATTGTATGTTGGTTGATTTAAGGGCTTATGCAAAAGAAGCATACGCATATATTTAAGTACTGTAAAACTGGTAATTTTTGTGGTACATTTATTCCGCGCTCTTCGCGCCAGCACAAGCTAGCACGAATTCAACAACACGCGAAAATATTAACACCAACAAAAATATGCTCTACTATGTACGGTATTACAGTTACAGTACACTGGGCCTAACCTTGCCACCATATGCATGTGCCAAGTCTCGCCTAAGTCTTACCGTACAGCAATGTATAAGCCTATAGCCTACCTGTTTTTCTAGGCCTAGCCTAGCTGTTTTTCCCTAGGCCTACACACTAGGATACTGTCATGTACTGTATGTTACGGTGAACACTTTTTTCTCCAGAATATTGTACATAAATGATCCTTAAAACTAAAAAGAAATGTTTGTTTTCAACGAAATTTCACACATAAATGATGGTTATTTCTTGCGTAAAATGAAGGTTCTTGTCTATTTATTTGTTAAAAAGCATTTTATTCGTTGATTTAACATATATGACTATATATATTTTAATGACATTATAATGAGCCAGCCTGGATGACTAGGCCTAGCCTAGGCCTACTTTACTCTAGCCCTTGCCTAGATCGCTAGCCTTTAATTTAACACCTTCATGCCTTTAAATAGTGACCACCATGGATATCTATGTAAAATCCAGAAGTAAAGAAAATATTTACTATTGGGGAAAATCTGAAGCACGAAAACAACAAGCCGCGAATATGTTGAAAGGGTCTCTGAGCGTGAAAATTTACTTGCGTGAAAATTACCGGTTTTACAGTACGTTGTAAAACCTGAAGTTTTTGTATTTGATGGTTTTGTTTTTTTTTGTGGGGAGGAGGGTTGCTTTTTTTTTTGTTTTTTGCGTTAAGTCAGTTTACAACCCAATTTTACCTAAGAAAAAACATTAATGAAATTAATATTAACTAGATTTGAACTCGTCACTGAGGACGAGTTTGGTGATCTGCCATACTTTGACCCTCACGAAGCACGCGCGGTGCTGATTGAAAATTATTATATGCTAAAACATGCCCTATTTAGTTTTTTAAAAGAGTAATTTTGAGCATTTTAATGACTTACGAATGTGTACACATACGTCTTAACGTCCATGCGCACGGTAATGATATTAATACAGTGTCACAAACCCAAAACATGTAACCGAAACGTAATTTCCAGCTTCAGTACGTGCTGTGAGCGTTGAAATGAGCGTACGGCGCGTAAATTATGGAAAGTTTTGGAATACTAAAAAATGATCTGAAACGTGCTTTAAATTATCTGAAAAGTGATATTAACAATTTTAAAATGTTAACGCACAAGTACAAATACCTCATACGACGTGCCCGAGGACGGCACATGAATTTAAACCTTGTCAAGTTTAATTTAAAACCCCCTGTTGGTTGGTAATGCCACACGAATTTTCCCTTTACTGTATACAAACTATCGGTCTGATAGCATCGAAATACAGTCTGCCGCCCTCTATTTTAAAATTGTTTACATCTTTTAAGAAAGAAAGATGAGAAGGCTCCAAAAAAGCATTCTTTTTTACCATGATGACGTCATCAAAATGAAAAATAAAGGGACACTTCTGAAAGAGAATTGTCTCAGATATAACATACTGACAAGTGAAAGACAATCGATCAAGAATAAGCAAGATACGTTCAAATAAGTTGAAAAATAATGACGTCATAAATAAAATTTCAGTTTTTTAAAAATTAGATAGCAATATGATGACGTCACAATGTCCGATCAGCCATAATGATCTATAAAATCATATCTACAATTCATGTGCTTTCAGAATATGTAATAAAAATTAGGGGTTACCTTTCATCTTAAGGAGCTATAACTGATTAAAAGTAGGCATAATTTTAAGTATACATAATTGTTGACGCACGCGTAAGTGCACGTTAAGTAGTGCGAACGGAAAATTAAGGTACCTGACATTCAACCTTGACCTGAATATTATGCTCACTTAATATGATTCAGAAATGCCGAATGGTTAAGATGATATGGGCTCATCAACATCTTGAGGAAAGAAAGATGTGGGGGGTTAGAAAAAACAATTTTTTTGACCATGATGTCGTCATCAAAATGTAAAAAGAAGTCAAATATATGAAAGAGAATTGTCTCAGCTATAACATACTCAAAGTTGGAAGACGATCGATCAAGGATAAGCGAGATACGCTCAAATGCGTATTTTCAAAAATGACGTCATAGCTATAATTCACTTTCTTTGAATTCAGATGCCAATATGATGACGTCGCAATGTCTGATCAGCCATTATGATCTATAAAATCATATTTACAACTCATGTGCTTTCAGAATATGTAATAAAAATTGGGGGTCACCTTTCATCTTAAGGAGCTATAACTGATTAAAAATAGGCCTGATTTTAGCACATTTTCACTGTATATCGGCACAAATCCGCGCAAAGATACCTATATTTGATGAGCATGTACAGCATTGCTATTGGCCATAAGATGACCAAAAAGAATTGCAATTTGTGAAAACAATGTCAGGAACCCAAACTATGTGAAAAATCATAATGTCTAGCTTCCGTACGTGCTGCACGCGTAAAAATGCGCGCGCGTAGTGGAAAAGTAAAAAAAATTTCGAAATGCTAAAAAAATAAAATAAACGTGCTCTAATTTAGTCAAAAAGTGGTTTTAAGCATTTTAAAAATTTGACGCACACGTACGCACGCGTCATGAAGCGCACGCGTAAAATTAAGATACAGTACATTCAACATTAACCCGAAGTTAATGATCACTTAATACGATTTCGAAATGGCAATTGGTTAGGCTGATATGATCGATAATGTAAAAACGCAAAATTGCGCGTAGATGACTTCACGCATGACTGAGCGCCTTGAAAAGCTTACCATGACTATTCCAGACCAAACCAAATGTTCGTTGACAGTGATTGTGCGTAACTCATGGCATTTTTTGAGATATCGTGCGAACAGAAAAGGGGAGAAAGAAAGAAGAATAAAAAGAAGATGAAGACTAGATTTGAACTTGTCACTGAGGACGAGTTAGGTGATCCGCCGCACTTTGACCCACAAGGAAGTGTGCGCGGTGCGGATTGAACAATATTTAAATGCTGAAAATGGCAAAATACGCTAATTTAGTTTGTTAAAAAAGAATTGTAGCATCCAAGAAGCGGATCACCAATGATGATGATGATCCTAACAATAACAAGAGGTGATCCAATAAAATTAGGCTTTGTCAATTGTGTGTTTTTGTTTTTTAGTTTTAGCTTAATAAGTTTTATATAAGTTTTTGTAAGAACACCCACATGGTGAAAAAGTCTTGTGAATAAATGAAGATTATTATTTTTATAGCAATGTATTATTATGTTAATTAGCAAAGCAAAAGAAATATTATATTTAATAATTAGATAATAATTTAGCTAAATATACAAAGCAAATTACTTTAGTATACAAGTAAAATATTACTCTTATTATAGCTCCAAATAGAATCATGCTGTAAATGCTTTTAACTGAATATTTTGTGCATTGAAGTCTCTGGAACCAATGGTGGATTACAAAGAAAGTTTGCACATGCACAGACCACTATAAAGAGCAAGCTTCCCATATTACCGTATATACCAGCGTAGAAGGCAATCTGCATATAAGGCGACCCCCCCCCACCACACCCGATTTTTTTGGACAATTTTTGTATGTTGGCCGTTTAAGACAATGTTACAGATGATCCGCACATAAGACGAATATGATTTAAAAACCAAAAACGATTTACCGTCAGCGCGATATTAAGTGGGCTAGAATTTGAACATCAAGCTCCAGGGCAAAAAAGTACTATTTTCTAGGGGAATAGTACTTTTTGAGGGGAATAGCACTTTTTACTGTCCGCTGCATGAATCAGATGCCTAGAATCTATATATATGAGGTATATAATAGTATATATGTCACTTTATTTTTATTCATTTTTTCCAGATTTCACAACAGAATATTTACCCTTGTTTAAATACAGGTGTATTTAAGGGCTGGGTATGTTATAAACAGAGACAATAGGCAAAATAATGTGATATTTGAAGTGTTTCACTCACCGTCAATGAAGCATGTTGGATGGGAGCTGATGCACAGGAATATGTATGGCTAGCTGCACTTTTGACTGCATTCTTCAAGACAGACAGCTCTTTGGGGTACATGCTGTATCCAAGCTGGAAGGGCAAAGAATAACGGGTGTCAGTAGGATTACTCCATATGAGAGGGTGTAAATGCTTAATTTTATTACTATATTTATCCAGTCAATAGGTGAGGGCATAAAAGTTTAATTTTATTACTATTATTTACCCAGTCAATATCGCCCAAGTTGACTGTACATAAGTCAAAAATGTGTTTTTACATTAAAAATTTCAAAATTATGAGTGTAGATTCTCCATACTATTATCACAACTACTTTGTATTCGACCTAACAGAGGTTCACTGTAGAAATACAGCAGCATATCTTTATTTGGTAACATAGGAGGCAAGTGCTATTGCAATCAAATCATACTAGCATAGATTTCTTTAAAACTATGGCAAAATGTCAGAAAACAGTAGCATTATGATTTATTGAGCTTGTGGCAAGTAAAGTATGCTTAATCAATGAACACATAACACGACAGCATTGTGGTATGACAATATCATGCCTTGGGTCTGAAAGTGGGTCACCAGTAACAATAGCTTATGCCAAACTTGCGGTGCTATGTGAACTAAAATTATCTAAATGGCTTAAAGCCAACAAATTAACTGTAAAGACAAAAAATGAAATATACTATTATTAGAACTAGAAATAAACCGTATAACCCTCCTTCAATATATAATTTGTCTATCATTCAAATGAATATTAATAACGGATGTCACAAAGTTACTTTAGGATTGGCATCTAAACTTTGTTCACCATACTGGTAACATTGCTATAGAAGATTTCAAAAACTGTTGGGGTCATTTCAAAATTTTAAAAGTTTCTACCTACCAATATACAAATTACAATTTATAAATTGTTGATTCTTCTACTAAAATTGCAAAAGAAAGCATTAAAGCCCAGGCTGCACATAAAACACATTTTCTGCACCCCTAAACACCTTTTTAATTCATCAAACCATTTTGGATATCTTTTTAAAAAGAAACTAAAAAAAAAAAGAAATTAGAAATACTGTACTAAAGCTGTACATAGTCACAATACTAGAAACTAAAAAGAGAGCAAATATAGGTCAACAAAGTATCTCATACACAGGCCCAAATATCTGGAATAGCTTACCCACTGAAATAATAAAAATAAATCCACTTTTACTGACAAAACCAGAAGAATATTTTATTGAACAGAAACAAATTAACTAAATGCTGGCTTAGCAAATGCTATAATTTTGATAACATTTAAACTTTCTTTCAAAATTTTACCTTTGATGAAAGCTATACTTTACAGCAGGCATTTGTTTACTAAATTAAATATATCTATTCTGATTTCACTTGTTCACGTGTTCATTTACATATATAATACATTTAAATGTGTACGTACATTACTGTGTTTAGGAAAGAGTGTGCATGCTCAGTGGATATGATTGTGTACATTGCATGTATTTGTGAAGGGGGGAGGGGTGGGGTTTGAATACTTTTCCTTTAAGGTTACTTATGTATAAAGCATAATTATGCTTGTTTGTGTATACATCTTCATTAACATGATTATTGCTTTTGTACTAAATCAACATCTTGTAGTGATTGTAACATAATGAAGAATGAATCAAATTGAATAAAACCTTAAGCAAAAACAGATCTGCATTGGCTAGAACAATCTTTTGTAAAAGTGATTGCTGTAACAATTGTGAGGACTATGGAACCTTGGTCTAACATACTAAGTTACCAAGACATATGCTGCTCAACCTACCCGCCAGCCCCCAGCACTTGCCCACTTTGAAATTCCACTGCTCACAATGGTACCTTCTGGGTAGTACTTTGCTAGACTGACATGCTTAGCATCAAACTTCAACCTAGCATAGATCTCGTCAGTAATAACAATAACTTGATGCTCACGGAACGCCTCGCTAGATTAGAGGAGTTAACATATCATAGAAAGAAATTCAAATTATCCTGCACTGCATCATATACGTGCATTTCACAAACATCGGTATAAATTTTCAAGTTATTATATACATTAATAACCATAATTCAGTGGAGATCAAAATTACATCATAAGATGTTTTTTTATCTTTATATTTTTTAAATTAAAATGTGATTAATTTTAATTAAGAGGTTACTGGACATAAAAAAAAATACAATTAAAATGCTACAAATCAATGTAAAACTTGTTTTAGTTTTAGCTGAGACAAAAGAAAGCTGAGATGACACTATATAGGAATATTGTTTATAATAAGCATTTTAAAAACATTCTTGTAAAATTTCAGATTCAATTTACTCCAGTAAACAATAAATTATCAATTACTGTATTTCAATTTTTCTATTTTTAGTACAATTATTGTACATACAAGTTAAAAAATATAAGACTAATGAAATATTTATGACAAATATTTTATTTAACACATTGAACAAAATACATGAGTATGATTTGCATAACTGTTATATGAAGTTAATTATGAACATACTTTATATATTAGTGGATATTTTTAAAGATCAGAATAAAAAAACTAAATAAATACCTGAGAGACTCCAGTTCCTGTTCTGTATAGCAAGTTCCCGCTGTAAAGGAAACAGACAATTTGTGAAATTGCAATAAAAAAAAAATTATGAAAAATTCTAAGGAATGTCGTTCTCAACACCAATTTGTTTTGAGGCTATTTTACTCACCATGCTTGGAATATCTTGAATGGTAAGAACCCCCTTGACCAACCTAGTGAGCTAAATCTACTGTGTTAAAATCTTTTCTCTGTAGATTTTTAAAAAATACAATTTCAGCTTACATTATTGTAAATCTATTTTGATGGGAGTTTGCATCACGAAAATATCAAAAGGAGTGATGTTCTGCCCAACCTGACGTGTTATTGTACCAATTACTTGCAAACAAAAATTATTTGGGTGTGAATCGAACCCACTACCTCCAGATAACTGGCATGGCACCATAACTTTTTCGCAAGTATTTGGGAATGTACTGAGTATTTCAGTACGATAATATGTCCGGTAGGTCAAAACATCACTCCTTTGTTTTATCCACTTATTCTAATTATTATTTAATGCTTAATTTCACATTCAATTTCATACCAATTCACATTTTTGACATTTACTTAATCAGACAAGTGCATTGGGGCCCCAAAAGCAACAAAGTCACCATGACAAAACTCTAGGGCCCCAGTAAACTAAAGTTAACTACATGCTTAGCCCAACTTTTCAATCCAATTACTCACTTGGATTATCTGGATTACACAGGATAAGTAGTTTATTCTTCTTTTCCAAGTTATTATTTGTGATAGCCTGAAATGACAATGTGACACTGTAAAAAACCACTGACTTATAAAATGTTATTTTTTTTTAAATATATTTATATTTATAGTGGGCAACTCTTGCAGCTAGGCTGGTATACAGAGGCCTACTTATTGAACTTAAAATACAAACATCAATGATAAAAAAAAAAAAAGTTTTTATGAGGTATAGTAAATTTTAAAATAAAACCTTTAGAAATGCCATAGGTGTTAGCTTCCAATCATTATCAAAGGAGGTAGGAATAACATGTACTTTCTTCTGAGTAAGCAACGCTTGAGGTTTGTATGTCGTCCATGTTGGAGAAAGCATCATCACATCTGAACAATTTAAAACCAGCTTATAACATAGCCAATGAGATTGGTAGTGAATTTAAGATATCAATTAAGAGCAATGATGATCAATATGATATAATTATGTTGAAGTAGTGAATTGGGACGATGAAAAAGATGACAATGAAAAAGATGATAATGATTATGATTACCAAAATATTCTGTGAAAAGTTCTTTCACTATACCATAGTGTAGTGAAAATCAGGGCACCTGCGACCATTTTTTTGGGACCAAGGTTGTATTATATATAATATATATTTATAATATAAATACCTGCTAATATATTATATCAGCAGGTTTCCTGGAAACTCCATTAACACTATCAATACCTAGGCACAAAATGTAGTCTAGAGCTAATATATTTCATTTGTTCACAATGGAACTTTGGGGGAATCATGGGGGCTAAGTGTCCTAACTGAGGTGTGAATTTCCCGAAAATCAAGATATATACTTTTGTGATATTTTGGGTCAAAGTTCAAGGTCATGTGAGTTGACCAATATAACTCTCACTAGTCCGGACATCAGTTGCATATCATTGGAAAGAGAATCTTCTCCTCTGTCCAATGGTATCAGAATTTCTCAAATACGTTGAGTTTCAAGAGAGATATCTGTAGTTATCTGTGACAAGGTGAATTTTTAGCCAAATCCCATGAAAATTTCAAATTGCTCTAACTAATCTGCAAATGTTGGTGCAAAGCCAAAAATTTCACTGTGGGGTTATCTTAGGTAGAACCCCCAAAAGGCAAAATATTGGGTGATTTCAAGGGGGTCGTGCAAAAAAAGTGTATTTGATCCATATGGAAAGATGCTATTTAGCGCACTGTCTTTCAGATGAGACGTTTAAGCCGTTGGTCCTGTGTGCATTTATGGCCCATGTGCACGTTAAAGAACGTAGTACACCCTTCGGAAATTAGTAGGGGATTGTCTCCCAGTGTACTGCCCAATCACCACCAGAAGGACCCAACTGGAAATAAGTCTTCTTCTAGACTTTCTTGGGCTATCCTTTTTGTTTACACCAAATAAATCAAATCCGATCAGCATTATGGTATCACCAGCATCAGTATCATTTTTTTTTTTTTTTCTTTTTTTTCCCCCGAATTTTATTTTTACTGTTAAGCGCATTGAGGCTTTAGCATAATGCGCTATATAAGCCAAAATTATTATTATTATTATCATCACAGCTGCAGCAGCAGCACCATCATCTGCAGCATCAGTGTCATGGTATCAGCAGCATATTATCATCATTATATTCAGCATCATCATCAGCATCGGCAGCAGCATCCTCATTAGCAGCACCATTATCATCTTCAGCAACAGCATCGTCATCATCATCATCAGCAGCAGCATCAGCATCATCATCATTAGTAGCAGCAGCATCAGCATCATCACCATCATTATCATCATCATCATCATCATCAACAACAGCTACGGCAACATCAGAATCACTAGCATCATCACCATCATCTTCATCAGCAGCAGCAGCATATTTCAAGATCCTGTCCTACCTCCATTGAAGACTAACATCAGCAAAAAGATGAGCTCCTTGGAGCCTGGCCCAACAACGATGTCATCAGCATCAAATTGGCTGAAGTTGTCAACCTTAGCATGAAATTTACAGATGCTTGCACGTAGCTCTGGCAGACCTGTAACAAAAATTAAAATGTGCTTAAATAATGAGGTATATAACAAAGGATACAACTGCTTATAATCTATAAAACAAAAAACTGTACACTAAAAAGTTGTAAGCAGTAATTAAAAAGAAAAAAAAAATTTTTCATTTCTGATTTCATATTTATAATACTATATGATGGTACCCTACCTGCAACAGGTAAATACGCATTCTCTCCAGTATGTTCAGTAAGTGCTTTCTGGGCAGCTTTCATCACTGGAAAGGGAGACTGGCCAAAACCGAAGTGGTATACTGTTTCCCCTTCTTTTACCAGTTTGCGGACCATCTCATTCTGAGCAAGGTTTGAAGCTTGGTTGTACCCACTCAAGTGCGTTGGCAGTAAATTCATCCACTTCTTATCAGTATTCAAATCCATTTTATTTGGATCACCTGTTTGATACTAAGAGTCAAAATGATTAACTTGGCACTTCTTTATTTGAGAATAAAAATGAGTAGGGCTTACTGCTGTAAAATGGAATTTTCTTCTTTTTAAGCTTTCCAGCTGTTTGCGGCCTTAAAAAAACGGCAATTCTTTGTCAATAAAACAGCAACAAATCATAGTAAATTATTTTCTTCAGTGTAGTCAATTTATGCATGAAAATATAACTGATACTTTAGAGACAGATGCTTTCTAACAAAATTCAAACTATTATTTTTAACAATTGTTTCATATGAGAATGATCTAAATACATCTGGCACGCTGTTGCAGGGTATAATATTGTACATCAATGCTGGAGTAAAATACATCTCTAATGGGCCCCACATGGATCTTGGGTGCAGAATCTGGAGGTTTTCTCAAGGTCTGCGTAAAAATAGATTTTTAGATGAAGAGTCTAGTGTGGGTCCAGGGGACGATGCCCCTGAAAGCACTGGCACTGTAGTCTTTTATACAGTAGTCATATTATTAAATTGATTTCAAGGATTACACAAGTAACAAGTTTAAATTTACCTCTTAGTGTAATTAAATCATAATTTCGCTTTTAGGCCTATAATATTTTGTGCAAAAACATTCATAAAAACAATAATTTTAATGATTTATCTAATTATTATATACTGATTTAATAGCTAATGTTTTATGTTTTCTATAATAGACCCTAGGCCTAATTTAGAATTTTGACAAATTTAGGAGGACGGGGACTAGGTCTACTGGGGCCATGCCACTGTCAACTAACCAAGCTGTGTCCAGTGGCTGATTCAAAGGGTGCCCAGCCGGCTGGATCCTACGCGTACTAGGCCTAACTATTACTAGTATGTGTCATGTATGTAGGCCTATATAGGCTAGCCTAGGCCTATCTATAGTAAACAGCTAGGGTCCTACTAGAATGTAGAAAAAAAGTAACAAACCTACCCACTGAGCAGTCTTTGTCTGTCTACTTTCTTGTATGTGATGCAATCAAGAAACAGATTTTCTTGTCGTAAACAGATCCTACAGCTGATTGGTGAATAATGGAGAGAATTATGTAAACACATAATTCACTCCATTATTCACCAATCAGCTGTAGAGAATTATGTAAACACATCAGTGTGTGGCAAACACATACAAGTACAGTTGCTATTGAATGTGTACGACGAGATATAAATAAAAGAGACATAATGTATTTGTTATGGCATTTTCAATTAAAGTTTTGAGCATTGGTAGTATTGCACCACTAAAAGCTACAGGTACCAAATCTTACTTGTGGTATGATTATATTTCTTGATCAGTTGATCCTTTGATCATTCTGAATCCTGCACCTGTCTCTTATACACATCTAGATGTGTATAAGAGACAGGTTTAATAGCTCTATGGGCAAACATTCTACAGTCGACATCACATTGCTGGACAGCGCCACCAACGAGCAAGTTAATTTTGAACATTTTGAACTCAGTCGAGACATAGTCTAGTACAAAAAAAACCCAAATCGAGTATGACGATGGGGGAAAGGGGAACACCAAATGAATTAGGTATGGCGCGCACTAAGCGCAATGAAGAGTGAGCACCCAAATTTAGGGCCTCCGTGAATTTTCTTTCTCCTTCTGGACAGAGCCACCAATAAAATAGTGTGCATGGGACCCAATGAAATTTGGTATGACACACACTAATTTACAGTATTAATTACATAGAAACATCAATGCGAGGAAATAAATCTTTTCTACTGGACTTTCTTGTTTATTCATAACAATATTTTGCATCCAATCCAGGAAGCTTCATCAGGCCAAATGGTGTTTTGTTTACTAAAGGTCGTTGTCCTGTGACACCTGATGGAAACATCATCAACCCAAATTTAGGGCCTCCGTGAATTTTCTTTCTCCTTCTAGAAAGAGCCACCAATAAAATAGTGTACATGGGACCCAATGAAATTTGGTATGACAAGCACTAATTTATTAATGACATAGAAACATCAATGCAAGGATATAAATCTTTTCTACTGGACTTCCCTGTTTATTCATAATATTTTGCATGCAATCCAGGAAGCATCATCAGGCCAAATGGTGTTTTGTTTACTAAAAGTCGTTGTCCTGTGACACCTGATGGAAACATCATTTGAGGTGCATAAGCCTAATTATTGTTAGTGTAAGGCTTGCATTTTTTCTTAAGTGTAGTTGTGTGCTTGAGTTCTCATTTGCTAAGATTAGTTGGGTTAGAGTGTGCCGTTTCACTTCACTGCTACAGTACAGAGTACTATCATCCTCATCACCATATCTTCACTATCACTACCATAATCATCAAACAGCCATGAAATTGTCGCTTGCATGTTGGCTTGGGTGGGCTTTGTCCAAAAAGAGATGGCCACTTGTTTATTGGGTCTTAAGCAAAGAAATGCGTGTTAGGCTTCAGTAGAACAGATTTATGTTATCTTAATTTCTTGTTAAAGACAACATTATTATGGTTTTTCTTGGAGGAAAGCAGAGAATTTAAAATACTGTATAAACAAGAACAACATGCTACCACAATCAAAATTATTTTCAAAACTTGTTCACATACGTGGGACATTTATTTGTAAATAATTATCATCTTTAAACGCCTCACAGCCGCTTGTTCTATAGAAGGTTGTTTATGGAAACAGTACCAAATAAATACAATCAATAACGATAGTACAGTAGTAATTTTTTTTGTTATGTACCTTAGCATCTACTCACTACAAAGATAACAAACCAACTGAACAATCTACGAAAAAATGTCATATGTACAATGCTCTAACCAATTTCTTGGTATGCAAAATAGCAGATGCATGATCAAAATTAATGTCTCCAATTGGCATTTAAAGGATACATTCAAATTATTACAGGTATTCAAAAACCGAAGCAAAACATCCTACAGAGTTTGTACCTAATCTGTATTCATTATCTTAACATCAATTCTTTTTTTATTTTTAAAAATTTTATGGAAAAGCCAAGACAAACTGTTATTAAACATACTGCCTTAGTTGTGTCTGTACCCATAACACTTGGCTAAATACACATACAGAACAACCTAACTGTCTGGACCAAAAATATGTTGCTATAGACAGAATAACCTATAGTCTTTACCCACAAGAGCTTGGTTTATTGATACAAAGCAACCTAGCCACCTGTACTTGCAATAACTTGCAAAACAGCCAAGCTGTCTGTAACCACAATATCTTGCAATATACCCTTGATAATGATTGGTAGAAGCATTATATACAAGATTTAACTTTACTGTTGACCATGTTATTCGCTGTATGTTTTAATATATCCAAAGCTAATTACTTGAAGAGCTGACAAGAATAAGAATGAATAGATCTAATGAAAATCTACTGACAAACAGATAATGTAGATACAGTATAACTTTTTAAAATACCATGTCACAGTACTTGATCATCTACAAAAAGTAAATTGATACAAATCAAATATCTACAAATATCTCATAATGTAGTAAACTACAAAACAAAGGTGAACACAAATATATCTTTAGTATTATTATTAACTTTCATATCATGTATAAAGATTTTTTTTTCAAATAGTATATTTTTGTTAGATTTGCGCATGTTATTGAATTTGTTTTCATTATCATAAAATCTATTGGTAAGCAATTTTGAAAAAAAAAAAAAGACGTTATCAGTACAATCAAATCTTACAACCACCATACAATCAAGTAAAGAGATTTTAGATATCAAATTATAGTATTTTATGCTCTGTAAATATATATTCATATATATTTATATAATCTATACACACAGTGCACAAGTACTGATAGACATCAAGTCTATCTTTGTTCATAACAAAGAATAAAAGAAAATACAGTCTGACATGCATGTTTTTGGATTTTGTTTTTCCTACTTTTTTTTTTTCAATTCTTTCGCTTTGCTGATGACTGACGAAAACCATTATATCTGATAACCACAGTAAAGGCAAAATACTTGTTGTGTTAATGTAACACATACAGATCAAAGGAAGAAAAAAAAAACAAAAACAAAAAACAAAAACAAAAAAAAACAAATCAATGTGAATCTATTACTCAAAATTTTGTTATGTTTCAGCGCGAGGCAACATCAGTGCAAAGTAAACGTTATCTACAAGCTATCTACTTCACCATTCTTAAAACCTCCTTGCATTTCTTTGCAATCAGTAAGTAAGTAGACAATAGTAACTGTGAGGAAGACTAGGCCTGTATGTTGGAGACCAAATAGCTACAATAACATCATATTCCACACCCGGGCAAGCACATACCAATTACCAGCAAGGAAAAAGCTATGATTTGTATCAGAATATCTGATTCCGAATACATTCAGGAACTGTTTTTTGGGGATTTTTTACTCAAAGAAAACAAGATAGCAAGATGCAGAACAATTGACAAAGGCTGCAGTAAAGTTACTTATCACATTCTCCTGTACACTCTCATCACATGCATTTTCTCCTACCACTTTCAATAAAATCTAGAACTTATGTGCTAACTATTCTAGAGGGTGCCACCACTAACTGGCATTCATCGTTTCTTGAGCTTGCATATCTTTTTGCAAGTTGTCCATGCATCGAAAAGCTTCTCTCTGAAGCGTTACTGGTAGATACAGTACTGGCTTGCACTTTCAGGAGGATATCCAACGGTTGATAAATCACTCCTGCAGATGACTTGCTCTTCAAAAGCCACCTCATCCGGCAATTTTATCCTCTTCATCAACTTTTTGTTTTCATCTTCTTGCAAGTTTAAGAACGATTGAACCCTTAGGAGTAACCTCAACTTTTTTTTGTTTCATGACAATTGTCCATTCCGGATCATTCGGGTCCTCATTAAGATCCTCGGGTTCTGAACTTAAGTCTGAGCGTGGTGATTGTGCTCTACTCAGGGTAACACTGCTTTTGGGAGTAGAAGTCCCACTGGATTTGTAAAAATCTGGTTCCAAATGGAATATTGAGGTGTCTGCTTCCAAATCTTTTGTTTCTTCTTCTGTAAGTGGGAAAGTTCTTAATGGCCATGGATCTACCATAGGGAACTCCTCTTCGAACTGTACAGCGCTTTCGCTATTGTTTGAAATGCGACGCTTCTCCGGATTCCTCTCCAAGACACTGCTGTCCTGAACAGTGACTGGCGACTGTGATGGTGTAACAGATGCACTTGCTGGTAGCGATATGGCTGAGCTTGAAGCATTGAGATTGTCTGACATTTGTGTTTCACTCATAATCAAATCTGGTGAGTTTGGATCTGGTGTTGTGGCACTATTTGTACGTGATCTTCTTGAATGACTTCTTCTCATGTTGCTGTGTGAATGATCTGTCAAAGCTACCATATACAGTGACTTCTCCATGACTTCTGATTTGCTATGCCGAAGTTTGATGGCTTCAATATTTTGCTGGTCATCCTGTAACATAAACAACAGTAATTTAATCAATATTTAGACATGTGAAATAATAAATTTAAATAAATCACTAAAACACTAGAATGGCAATGTATGAAGAATAACAGTAACTAGATTCGGAATTTGTCATAGACGAATTCGGTGATACGCTGGGACTGATGATAGTTATTTTGAGGATTTTTGAACGATTGAACATGGAGACTTTTGGTATCAGAATAAAAAAAGGCATTTAACAAGACATGGAAATTTGTTAATACAATGTCAGTATGTCGACTCAAGTGGACGAATTCGTATATTTGATGCGCATGTATGGCATTGCTTTTGCACTAAAATGGCTGAGAGAGAATGGAACTGTGAATTGAGTGTCAGGAAATCATGATATGCAAAAAAACTTAATTTTCAATTTCAAAAAGTGCTGTGCGCGTGAAAATGTGCGTACGCCATGACACGTGCGGACGGCATTGCACACAAAGTTTAATCTTGATATGTAGTACACTTGTGTCTTTCGGGTTGTAATCCACCCTGCTGCCGTTTGTTGGGATTCGTTATGTAGTGAACATGTAGAATGAGGGTTTAAGTAATGTTAATAAAGTTGAACTATTAGAAATCTTTGCCGCTGGTAGCGTGTCACATAATAACCACCATGTAATCAAAAGAATATCGAAGAAAACCGATTTAAACAAATTTTTTCATTGATAATATGCCTGATCTTGTGGATGTAAGTTGGCGTTAGAGTCAAATGCATACCAATTTACCAATTTTATATTGTGTTAGGACCCAATTCCAGCCTGCATTTGCCATGGGTCTTCAATTTATGAATATTATGTTTTCGTCACTAAGGACGAGTTAGGTGATCTGCCGGACACCGACCTCAGAAGCGTACTGATACTGACCTGAAACGTGCTTTAAATTACTGTATTTAAAAGGTGATATTTGATTATAGTTTGCGCACGCATCTTCCTGTGCACGTCTTCCTGTGCGCGTACGTGTGCGTTAAGGTTTTTAACATTCTAAATATCACCTTTTAGGTGCAGTAATTTAAAGCATGTTTCAAGTCATTTTCAGCACACTTCTGAGTCAAGTCGGGCGGATCACCTAACTCGTCCTCAGTGACGAGTTCAAATCTAGTCTTCTTTTTCTTATTCTTCTTTCTTTTTCCCCATTTCTGTTCGCACGATATCTCAAAATTGCTGCGAGCTACGCACATGCCAACTTCAACAAACATTTGGCTTCATCTGAAATAGTCATAACAAGCGTTTTAAGGTTGCCAGTCACGTGTGACGTTATCTACGCACAATTTTGATACCTGTTCGTCGTAACAATACAAATTTTCCCTTCATATGAACTATATAATCAGTCTGATAGCGTTGAAATAGTCTGCCGCCCTCTGTTGGTATGTCCAATATATTAATATATTATTTCTCAATAATTGAAGATGAAGAGGTCCAAAAATCATTCATTTTGACCATGATGACGTCATCAAAATGAAAATGAAGGACATGATTCCGAAAGAGAATTGTCTCAGCTATAACTTACTCGGAAGATGAGAAACGATTGACTCACAATAAGAAAGATACGCTTAAATAAATATGTTAATAAATGAGGAGATTAATGGAAAAAGTTTTTTTTAATTCAGATGAAATTCTCAAAATGACCTAAAACATGCTCACGGAAGCGTATCACCAATAAATAAATAAAGAAAAATCCGAATGAAAACAAAGGTGATACGCTCACGGAAGCGTATCACCAATAAATAAATAAAGAAGAAAAATCCGAACGAAGACAAAGGTGATACGCTCACGGAAGCGTATCACCAATTAAATGTATTTAGATATTTAGTAAAATACACTCATGGACATCCTTTTAGTGGCGAATTTATGGGTTTTCAATATACTGCCACATAAATCGAACTCCATTTGCTTTCAACGAAAAATATAAAAGAAAATTATCTTTGCCAGTTAAGATAAATAATATTACTGTTTTAGTTTGCACATTTATTTTTTTGTCAGCAAAGGGTTCTTAGTAAACCACTTGTAAATCATGAAGAAATGCAGCAACTCTCCCCTCTAGTAATTACCAACCCCCTATCATACCTCATCTGGCTGGTCCTCTGCTGATTCTTGTAGCAATAAGTTCCTCTTCAAGACTTCCTCATCAGTAACCATTCTCCACTTAGGTGTCACAATCTCCTTGTAGTTCAGTTTCTCAACCCGTGTTGAAGACAAGATTGAATAAGGGATGACAATGTTATCAATATCATATGCATCACTGGAAGCACATTTTCGCCTCATCGAATTGAGAGTATGCGGTGGCACAGAAGTCAATAATGTGTTGAACCCCTGTCCTTCGAGTGTTGGTGTACTTGCACCAGATGGTGTTTTACAGTTTATGTCCGGCAGTGAAAGACTACGTGCTCTTTTCTTCAAAGCAGCTAAAACAGAGTAAAATAAAATTAATGATTATAAAATTCTATAAATTAGAAGTCACAACAGCTTCATTTCACATTTAGTAAAGAAATAATTTATTAGGGCATTTCAGTGAATGGATGAAGAAAATATTAATACCCCTTTTATTCAGCAATCAAACGTTTGACAACCCAGGAGTTAACATAACAATAACTGACAAAAAGTATGACTTAAGTTGCCAAACATTACAGGTTCAATGTGGGGGAACAGTGTCGCCTGTGTAAACACCTCTAAATACGATTCCAAACTGTAGGCCTCATCTGGCACTACAGCAGCTGCTCCATAAACTGTGTCTCTTATTTTTTTTAGGGAGTCAAGTTGGTTTTATATTATAAAAGCATAATTTGGTTATTTATAGAAACGACCCTGTCAGTGGAAGGCAAACACGCATTTTAACTACTAAAGCACAACTCACTAATGTGACCATCCCTTAGTACGCTTCGTAACTGAAAAGAAAGGCGCTATGCAAGTAACAAGTACGCACCTATAGCTAGCTGTGCCGCACGTTTTTTCTTGATATCCATTCGGCATTGGCGAGATAAATCCAGTGAGCCTTTCGGAGTCACAGGTTGCGAATGCGATCGAGATAACATCTTGCTTTCCTTTTTCAGTTGCTTCAGTTCGCGGAGTTCTGATGGAAAAAAAATAATATAAACTCCACCGTTTTATTTCTGTCAAAGCTAAATAACTAAGAAAATTGAGAAATAATTAGATGAAACACTGACTAGAATATAATTGACACAAATTCTCGGTAGCAGCTATTACCAAGCTGTATCACACTGAAAATATTATTGGATACGAATAAATAAATAAAACAGAAAAATCAAAAAAAAAAAAAAAGCCCAACAGACAGAAAGATAAACATTTCACAGCAAAGATGGCTAATATGAGGGAAAAAAGTTAGTGATTAGTGTAAGTTGCAGCTAAATAATGTCAATAATATTCAGCAACATCAAAGACTGTAATATAACTGTTTTCTGGTTTCATAAATTTTAATTTTTCTGTCATAATTTCACTTCTTGTGGATGGGCGCCATGAGCGTTTTCCCTTAAACAGATAATTTTCATTGTTATTATTAAAGAGGGTGAAAAGATTGAGGAAGAAACATTAATTTACTAGGTCTTAAGAATTAAGGTGGAAGCAATAACAAGAACTTATGTGTGGACCATTGTTCAGTTTTAAGCAAAAATTGCATATTCCAGGCTTATGCTTCTTGACAATTAAGAAAGGTGTATAGCATTAGTCAGTAATGATTCACAAGAGATGTTATAGTAGTAGATTAAACTCAAAACTTATTAATTGGAGACATGGTTAGTAAAATACTTCAGAGCGATATTGATACCTTTAGTTGGAAAATTAGGTAAAGAACATGCCAGCATCTTCTCTTTTTCTTTTTTATGCTGCCTTAAATCTCTTAATTCTGTAAGAAATTTAGAAGTTCCAGCTCGTGCAATATTGGACTCATGATATTTACAAAACATACATAAAACAATAAAAAAATTGACAAAAAAATGACAGATAATAAATGGTAAAATACACTAAATTAATAAAATACTTACTTGCATGTTAGGAAAAAGCCTTATTAAAAATTTAGATATATAGTACATATAATTTAACATTTACTTAGAGTGTAAATGAAAATTAAAAAGTATATATAGCAGAACAATACTTTTGAAAAAATATTATTTTCAATAAAATTATATAACAAAAAATATTAATTGTATGAATTTTAACATGATGTTCTTCAGAATAATGTTTTCCCATATAATGTTTTCTAAGCAAATAATTGGAAAAACTGTAAACAATGAATTTTGATAAGTCTCCCAAAGCATGTTACTGCAGTTAAATTTGGATAGTTTCACCAAAGCATGCTCTTCCCTGGCTCAAAACTTAAAATGCTTTTTTTTTACTTACTTGATGCAAACAGATAGGATGAATTTTTCGACAATTTACGCTTCGCCTTCTTATCTCTACTTGACAATCTGGATTTCCTACAGTAGAATAAAACAAAACAAATGATTAAAAAAGATGTACAATAATAAAATAATAAAACCATTTTATATAGTCTGTGAGCAGCATCTTGATAAATGTTGAAGTGGCCGCCCAATTAATTTCTATATTCAGCATCAGACCTGTCTAAATTTATGCCTTCTTTTTATCACATTTTGCATGTGCACACAAAATAAATGAACTATAGGAGTCTGATGAAGACCCTGTAAAATTGTCTGTATTTGATCTTGATCCTAATTGACAATGAAATATTGGACTGTAAATAATGAAGTGAGCCCTCTAGTGTTAAAAGTATTAAGCCTATTTAGCATTGAAGGCTTTAGGTGCAGCAGTAATTAATATCACTGAAGTGATACTGACGTCAATCAATCAACTGGAATCTGTTAAATAATGTGATTACAGGGATTGTATCATCGTAAATTGATATTTTTTTTTTGTAATTAAAAACAATTAAAAATTATACTGTACTTCAAAAACACTGACTGCACAAATTTTTTTCTGTCCATTAAGTTAAATATGGTAATCTTGATATAGGATATTTTTTTAATACAGAAAAAAATATTCTTAATTTCCTATAAGCTATAAGCCAAGTGCTTATTGAGATCAAATCAACTGGTAGAGCTAGATGAAACCAAGGGACTGCTTAGAGCCTCCTGTCAAGATTCCTGGAGTAAATCACTGGTGGTCAGTCAAGGGGGCAGAATTTATTTATAATTTACGATGATAAAAACTGGTTTTCAACTTCTACTTAAATATAATTCTTAATCTGACTTTCAGATAATTCAAGGGTCTATGCAAAGAGTAGTATATTTTATGCAACTAATTCTTTTATATTTACACTTATAAGATAATAAACTTATTTAAATATACAAAATTAACAATGAAAATATATATTTAAATAAGTAAAGCACAAGCAGGATCTATTACCTTTTAAGCTTAATCAACTTTTTATATTCTACAGTCAAACTTGCCTAAGTCGACTCTGGCTATGTTCTCACGCGGCAGCTAACGGTTAGCAGGATCCGGATTCTGCTAACCGTTAGCTGTTGTGCGTCCATGTGAGAAAATCACGATTCGGATACCAACAATATGATGATCGAATCACTGGCCATTAAGAAACTGGAAATTGTAAAGGCATACGTGTGATTGGTTGATGATAGAAACGCCCTCAACTTGCTAACCGATAGCACTTGCTAACCGTTAGCGTATCCGGATACCGCTAACTGATCAGGCGTTCTCACGCAGGTGCTAACGGTTACTAGGGCTCTCGTGAGAACCAGGCTTTTGACTAACTCAAATAATTTCTAAGATGATCTTATTTTACATGCCAAACTGTTCTTTTCCATTAATTAACGATGTGTAAATCAAATTTTATCTAAGTCAAACAATTCTAATTTGAATGCCATTTTAGATTCGACTTAGGCAAGTTCTACTGGTATTTAATTTGGGATATGTGCATACTGCCGAGTTAAACTTAACATTGATCAGACTAGATGGATATTCTAAAGTATGCAAATATTGTATAGATGCTGCATTTCAGCATTGTGGTTCCTTTTCTTTCTTTTACTGCCATTTGCTACCCACACCAAATGCTATGTGGTTTTTTACACTCATAGAACATTAATGAGCTCTACATTGCAATACTTTGCCATTTGACAATTTCAAAATAAAATAAATATAATTATTACTAATAGAATATTATATCAAAATGGTATAAATATATTATGTTATCCATTTAAAATGGTTTTCAGACAAATTTTTCATCTTAGACAATTACTGATCTTAGAGACATTTGATAATATTAGAATCATCCGCATCTTTATCTTGAATATTTCTATTAGCAGTTGTTTTTTGGAATAAACAGTAATGTCACGTACTGCGAAAGAAAATGGAATTTCTGATTATCTGGACAATAAAAAGTAATCTTATCTGTTTTAGTGGCTATAGGGTGAAAGTGTGGGAAAAGCACTTTCAAGATTTTTAATATGTATTTGATTTTGATTTTTAAAATAAATTTGTTTACTTTGTGTAAATAAATTCAAACAAAATATGCAATGTCTGAAAAGCTTAGCTTTCAATTAAACAGTACAAGAAAATATTTTCCTTCGCACAAGCAAAGATTATTATTCGGAGTAATGTTTATTCTATGCTGAAGATACATACACTACTATATTCTTTGTATAGATCCATGAATCGTATATCAATTTAAGGAATGTTGTAGTAAATTTATCATTAATAAAAATCAGCCAAGCATGGAATTGTTTCAATCTGTCTCTCATGGGAATAAACTATGTTATCCTTTTAAAAGAGCAAATTTGAATAATATCCCAGAATTTATCTTGCATGTAAACTATTCTAAAAGTTGTTGAATGCCGATATCAAAGTTATTTGATTTTGCAATATTAAAAAAATTAAACTAAAAAAATACACTTTGGCTTTAAACTGCAACACCTGAGAGTGGGAAGAGGTATGACAATTTTAACAATGAACATTTTGGACTGAATCAGTGATTTTTTATTATCAAAACAAGTCTAAAATTGATCTTTTTTGTTTTTATTCAAAATAAAACTGTTCGAATAGAGAAAAAAAGATTCCCAATGTTCCTGTACACTGCAATACAAATTTTTCACAAACTGAAAAAAAATCTAAAAATGTACATACTTCCGACTTTGTGCTTTGCTGGAAGATCTTCGATGCCAATCGCCATTGCTCAGTAAATTTTCTAATCGTATTGTGGCTGGAACATCTATAATTCAAACAAAACAATAAACCATCACTCAATTGACACAAACAAAAAGAAAATCTACACTGTAAACCAACGCATTTGAAGTTCAAATTGTTGAGATGAAATAAAAAATTAAAAAAACATATATGTTAAAAAAATGGACTAAAAAATTGGGACACCAATCTAAAAAGAAGGTAAAACTTGGCCCAGATCGAGACAAATCTCTGCTTATTACTCTATATCCCATCATTCACCTTACCGGATTTATTCTCACAAGTATATTTTCAAATGATAGCCAAGTGTTGACACCCGCAAGGGCAGTAGACCCAAAAATGAAACATGAGTGCAATATACACAGAATGTTAAAATTGCAGACCAATGCTTGTTTAAGAGAAAACTTTTAGAATGTTTATTGTTTTTTTTAATTTTATGTTTTTATATTATTTTTTTAATTTTTAAAAATAAAAAAATCTAGAAATTTTTCATATCAAAAACTTGTTTGTTAATTATTTCTATATTTACCAAACCTTGGCTGCTGTATATATAAATATTCTTTTTTGTTCATTAATTCCCCTGGCTTCTAGACCCAATTAGAAATAAGTCTGGTGTATAAACACTATTTAACAGGTTTTCCAGACAATCAAATAATTATTTCAAATTTTGTACTGTTTATTCATTCATACTTTATTATATGTATTTTTTCATCATTTTAATTTAACATGCGACTTTGAATGCAAAATAAATCAAATGAACATTGGATGTGTGTAACTACATACCAAATAAAGAAAAAAAAAAACATGTTTCTCTTCCCCTTATACATAAAATATAGTTAATTGAGGTCTCCTCATCCCTTAAAAGAAGAAGACCAAAACAAGAAACACGTTTTTATTTTTGTTTGGCCTTGGGTGTAAATTATTTCAACCTGCGACATATGACTTACAAATCCATGTATCAGAAAGGTATTTGAGATAATACAGTTAGATTCAAATTATTTTTAAGATCATCAGTATCGTAGCTAAAAAAAAGCATGAAAATGTAACTTTCTATGCAATACATCATTATTGATTACAACTAATCAGTATTTAAATTTCACTTTCAAATCCAATGTTTAAAATAAAATAACATTTTATAACCCACAATCAACTTGCCGTTCTGATTAATTTCTACTAAATTAACTAAATTACTTATTACACATTAATTTTGCCACTCCTTTGTTAATTTAATTTGTATAAATTGGTGGTACAGCCAAAACATACGTCATTATTATCAAGCTACTGTAATCAAGATTGAAATAGTAAACAAATTTTGATACCTGCAACTTACTGTAACTTTGATGCGAAAACTTGGTATAACCGAATTCACCAACACAAGTAGTGTATATTGAATACATGTATTCCATTTAAAATATATTATTTACCAAAATAACTTTCAAAATATAATAACTTCAAAACCTAGTAATATAAAATTGACATATTACAAAAAGTTTTCACTGCATTCATAAATATAGGATCTTATTTTTTATAAATTAAATTTTTAATTAATTTGAATTCACCTTAATGAAGTCTAAAAAAACTGACCGATATCAACAAACCGTATATATTGTAAGTAATTAACTTTAGTAACTTTTAAATTTTTTAATGAAATTATTTAAATTAATGGTTTATTTTTATATTTATATATATTTTAATATACTCAAATGTATTATGTTAAATTTTTGTACTGTATGTGCTGCCAGAAGAGCCCCGCGAGAGTAATGCTGTGTTGATTTTGGGCAATCCCGGCCAGTTAGCCATAGTTTATTTGTTGATTTACTGGTGAAATAAATGATATAAGATGCGATATATATAAATCTACTTGTCACTGACATTAATAATAATCTTTGTTGGGAATACATTATCATAAAAATCAACTGTTACTAAGTCTAGGTTTTAAATAGTAACACTCAAAATGACTATCATTTTGTAGAAACACAGGAATCTTTTCTATCTATTTACAGATTAATAGATTTTAAATATTTAATAAAATATCATTACCATTTTATAAAAATACAAACAGGAAGAGGCCATTATTAAATGTACTCTGCACATCCTGTTTTGAATTCATTAAGATATAAAGTTGCCTTTAATTTTGAGAAAATCAGTAAACATAGCATGACGGAATGAAACCTTCCCCTTCTCCATCCTTTAAATACTACAGGATGTATGAAATATGAACTATCAGATAACACTACATGATTATGAGTTAATATAAAATGGTTGTATATTATGGTTGAATCAGACTTTAGCATTCAATGCTTGAATTATTGAATTGAATTATATTACAGTTTGTTTTTGCAATTTTATTTATTTCCCTATTCAAATTTTGATGACTTCATAATACTAGAATAATTTTCATATACAAAATAGACTATTAACTATTGTCCTCAAATGCGATGTTCTACAACATGACAATCCTATCGCCATAATAAGCAATTATTTTAGTTTGCTATTGTTTAATAGCGGCAGTTTTCCGCAGCAGTTGAGGTTCGGACTTTCAATCGTAAGGTCGGGGTTTCGAGTCTCCGCTGTGCAGATTCGCTTGTGTCCTTGGGCAAGGCACTTTAGCTACATTGCTTCAGTCCACCCAGCTGTATCAATGGGTACCAGCAAACTGCTGGGGACTAACCTGCGATGGACTAGTGTCCCATCCAGGGGGAGTACAACTCTCATCCGCTTCACACTACAGAAACTGGGGATAAGCTCCAGCCCTATGAGCCCCAGTGGCTCGGAAAGGATTTGGTTTAGTTTGTTATCATTGTGTATCATACACTAGTGGAAATTATTACACAAAAGTAAGATTAATGCATGAAAAATTTGAATGTCACATTGTCTGATAATCATCTATAATTATACTGTAATCATTGTCAATACATAAATGTTGTCATCTTCATTAAAATCACCATTCTCTTACATCAAATTAAACTTGGTAACATGTAAATTATATTATTATCTCCAATTTATCAAACTTCTTTATAATGTTTCTTACTACCTTGGACTTCCATACAATAACGACACTACTGTGCTTCCATTTAATTTTAGACAAAGGTCTCTGGCAATAAGGGACATGTTGCAGATAAAATTCAGGAAAAAAAAGACAAAAAAAAACCCATTTCTACACTTAGCAAGAAAGGCAAATCTTGTGAAGTTCCAAGTAAAAGTATACAAATGCTAGATTAAATTTTCATGGTTTATTTTAGTGACATTTATAGTACAGAAAAAAAACACTGTTAGCATCCTTTGTTCAATTCCAATCCCTAAAAAGCATTCTGCAAAGGAAATAGCATATACAGTGACTAAATTAATTTGGGAAATATTCCTAAACTACTGTACCATCACGTGAAAACTTTGAAATGAGCACACTGAAGGCACATTAGATGGGTTTTTACAGTACTGCAGTGGAAGGATGGCAGTGAAAATTTGACATAATGTAGGTAATTATTATGTGTTAGTGGTAGATCTAGAAAACTATGATTAATAATACAATGGAAAGTCAAAAGCACCACACAACTTTACTATATGCTTGTTCCAAAGCATGGGCCTAGCATAGGCCTGATAACCAGTCATAACATGAGCGATGGGCTTACAAAATATCAAGAGATCAATTTACACACTTTCCAAAGTGTTAATTATTATTACTGTATTACTTTAGTAAAGTCAAATATCACCATTGGGTTATAACAGTGATATTCAAAGTAAAACATGATTGAGATTACAAAAAATATCTACCAACTTTTTTTCTTTTGCCTTTACTGTATATTTTGATGATGGAGCAAGGGTAGTTTACTGCTTGGGCTCGTGCCTATTCCTTGCTCCTGCAAGATTGTACTTTTACTTTGCCAAATAAATATTATTATTAACTACCGGTATTTACTAACAAAATGAAAAAAATGTTTTTAAAAAAATAAATAAATAAATTTTAAAAATCTATTTTTCCCCCCCAAAAAATATATATTTTTTCAATACTATCGAAGACATGTGTGCGACAGTGATAAACTAATAATTTTTTTATTAGGCCTTAGGAATCAAGTACATGGTCAAACCTCCAAACTGTTCTACTAAAAAGTGATAAAAAGATCCACATCATCGGTGATTATATAATTATTATGTAATTGCTATTATATAATCAATTATCTGCTTGGGTGAAACACTTTTTATTTGTCAGTTATAATATGACCTGATAGAATTTTATAACTATTTATTACATCATTTTTTTGTTATTAATTGTCAAGTTGATAATTTTCACAAGAATTCTGTTTACATAAACAAAAAAATGCAATGAACAGGCACGGTTCAATAAATGGCCAAGTCAACGTCCTTGCCCTGTCTCTTATAAACAACTAGATGTGTATTAAAGACAGACAACGGAATGAACCCTTCCCCTTCTCCATCCTTTAAATACTACAGGATGTATGAAATATGAACTATCAGATAACACTACATGATTATTAGTTAATATAAAATGGTTGAATCAGACTTTAGCATTATTCAATGCTTGAATTATTGAATTGAATTACATTACAGTTTGTTTTTGCAATTTCATTTATTTCCCTATTCAAATTTTGATGACTTCATAATACCAGAATAATTTTCATATACAAAATAGACTATTAACTATTGTCCTCAAATACGATGTTCTACAACATGACAATCCTATCGCCATAATAAGCAATTACTTTAGTTTGTTACTGTTTAATAGCGGCAGTTTTCCGCAGCAGTTGAGGTTCGGACTTTCAATCGTAAGGTCGGGGTTTCGAGTCTCCGCTGTGCAGATTCGCTTGTGTCCTTGGGCAAGGCACTTTAGCTAAATTGCTTCAGTCCACCCAGCTGTATCAATGGGTACTAGCAAACTGCTGGGGACTAACCTGCGATGGACTCGTGTCCCATCCAGGGGGAGTACAACTCTCATCCGCTTCACACTACAGAAACTGGGGATAAGCTCCAGCCCTATGAGCCATAGTGGCTCGGAAAAAATTTGGTTTTGGTTTAGTTTGTTATCATTGTGTATCATACACTAGTAGAAATTATTACACAAAAGTTGGATTAATGCATGAAAAATTTGAATGTCACATTGTCTGATAATCATCTATAATTATACTGTAATCATTGTCAATACATAAATGTTGTCATCTTCATTAAAATCACCATTCTCTTAGCATCAAATTAAACTTGGTAACATGTAAATTATATTATTATCTCCAATTTATCAAACTTCTTTATAATGTTTCTTATTACCTTGGGACTTCCATACAATAACGACACTACTGTGCATCCATTTAATTTTAGACAAAGGTCTCTGGCAATAAGGGACATGTTGCAGATAAAATTCAGGAAAAAAAAGCCAAAAAAAAAAAAACCATTTCTACACTTAGCAAGAAAGGCAAATCTTGTGAAGTTCCAAGTAAAAGTATACAAATGCTAGATTAAATTTTCATGGTTTATTTTAGTGACATTTATAGTACAGAAAAAAACACTGTTAGCATCCTTTGTTCAATTCCAATCCCTAAAAAGCATTCTGAAAAAAGGAAATAGCATATACAGTGACTAAATTAATTTGGGAAATATTCCTAAACTACTGTACCATCACGTGAAAACTTTGAAATGAGCACACTGAAGGCACATTAGATGGGTTTTTACAGTATTGCAGTGGCAGGATGGCAGTGAAAATTTTACATAATGTAGGTAATTATTATGTGTTAGTGGTAGATCTAGAAAACTATGATTAATAATACAATGGAAAGTCAAAAGCACCACACAACTTTACTATATGCTTGTTCCAAAGCATGGGCCTAGCATAGGCCTGATAACCAGTCATAACATGAGCAATGGGCTTACAAAATATCAAGAGATCAATTTACACACTTTCCAAAGTGTTTTTATTATTTACTGTATTATTATTACTGTATTACTTTAGTAAAGTCAAATATCACCATTGGGTTATAACAGTGATATTCAAAGTAAAACATGATTGAGATTACAAACAATATCTACCAACTTTTTTTCTTTTGCCTTTACTGTATATTTTGATGATGGAGCAAGGGTAGTTTACTGCTTGGGCTCGTGCCTATTCCTTGCTCCTGCAAGATTGTACTTTTACTTTGCCAAATAAATATTATTATTAACTACCGGTATTTACTAACAAAATGAAAAAAATGTTTTTAAAAAAATAAATAAATAAATTTTAAAAATCTATTTTTCCCCCCCAAAAAATATATATTTTTTCAATACTATCGAAGACATGTGTGCGACAGTGATAAACTAATAATTTTTTTATTAGGCCTTAGGAATCAAGTACATGGTCAAACCTCCAAACTGTTCTACTAAAAAGTGATAAAAAGATCCACATCATCGGTGATTATATAATTATTATGTAATTGCTATTATATAATCAATTATCTGCTTGGGTGAAACACTTTTTATTTGTCAGTTATAATATGACCTGATAGAATTTTATAACTATTTATTACATCATTTTTTTGTTATTAATTGTCAAGTTGATAATTTTCACAAGAATTCTGTTTACATAAACAAAAAAATGCAATGAACAGGCACGGTTCAATAAATGGCCAAGTCAACGTCCTTGCCAACCAAAATGCTGTTCATAATTAGTTATGTGATCGATATAGTGAAAGGTGGGAGAATATCTATAACAATAAACCATGGTTCAACAGCTCGTCTCACTTGCGGCTGCATCAACGTATGATATCCATCCATATGAAGACAATTGAATTCATAGCCATAAAATCTATGCTAGGCTGTGATCAGCTTATATGTAAAATTTATCATAATTATACATTCAAAAAATGGGTGTTTTACAACAAGCTATACAGTTAAACTTGTTTAAGTCGAATTTAAGTAGTTGATATAATTTTACATGCCAAATTGTTGTGTTTTCCATAATAACCTGTAAGTCAAATTTTATCCAAGTCAAATTTTATCCAAGTCAAACAATATTTCAATGGCATTTTTGCATTTTAGGCAAGTTCAACTATAATTACTTCATGCTTTCCAATGTATACACTACTGTAGCATTGATAGTTTGTTTATTGAACTTTCTGAAGAAGAAAATTCATACTTTTTAAAAATGAATATCTATAAATTACCCTCAAAAAACTACAAAGGATATTATGTAGGCCAGTATTGAATACACTTGAGAAGTAAATGCTGAGAGTAATTTTTTACATTAGACCCAATAAAAAAAATTATTAGTTTATCACCCTCGCGCGCATGCCTTCTATGGTACTGGGGGAAAAAAAATTTTTTGAAATTTTTTTTTTGAAATTTTATTTATTTATTTTTTTAATTTATTTTATTAAATAGTTAGTAGATATTGTTTGCATTATCTAAATCATGTTTTACTTTGAAAATCAATGCACCAGCAAACAACCCAAGGGTAATATTTGGCTTTAGCAAAATAAAAAATTTTAAAAAAATCCTCCCTCCCTCATCACCTTTTCTGCCCAGATAGGGTGATAAACTAATATTTTTTATAGGGCCTTACTACTACTAGGTCATGAAATGGTAACCTTGAAGTAGAAAGACCAATGCTTCAAGTGGATAACACCTGATGACTAAAATGAACCTTATCTCAATCCATGACCCTTGACCATGAGATAAAATGTCTTACTTCAATGCCTACATAAAAAGATCACATTCATTGCTTCACAGCAGGAAAACAAGACTACATTCTAAAATAACATCTAACAGCATAATTTAATGTTAAATTAAATAAGTTAAAAATTGGACAAATATCAAATATAAACACTGATATGAGCACCTACCTTTTTTAAAAGACAAGACAGGATGGTATGAGTAATCCAGTAATGATAACCTCTCTTTTTCAGGCGTGAAGTTTGTATCAAGAGGCTTTAAATTATTATACCGTCCGCCACACATCACACATGGCATCTGCGGTTGGCAACACCTGCATTTCACCGTTGATCGTTTTGCAGCTTTCCGACTCAAATAATGGATCCCAATAGATTTGACAATCCGCCTTTTTCTGTAGTATTTCACCGGTCTCGTCCTTGCACAATATTTGTCCTCATTTGGTATTTGCAACGAGAATGAGGACGGACTTGGCGTATTTGTCTCTATTCGTATTCGTTTATGCTGATTGCTAGGTGTGCCAATGTTTGTTTTTGTTCCGTCTACAACTCCATTTATAGTGGTACGCGAAGGATGAACTTTATCGCCACCATTAGTTGCATGATGGTGTGAGTTGGGTGACCCTGAGGTCGGTGAAACACAGTTCTGAAAAGATTTTTGTAATTTTGCACTTTGTCTATCAACATTACATAACAACATTGAGATGTTTGAAGGCGATAGTTCATTTTTGCCCTCCAGTTTGGCTATTTTTGCTTCAATTGGAGAAAGTTTCTTTCCAGGCCTGTAACTGTTGTTTACAGTCTTTATGCGGAGAATTTCCTCAGCAGAAGGTGGTTCTCCGAGAGTCACAGCACCTTTTGTGGAGCGAATCTGCCGATGGATATCGTTTTGCTGCCTGATACGGTACTCTAAATCAGACACTTGTGCTTGTAACCATGTCCACCGGCTGGCTATCGCTGATCTCGCTTTGGCCCACCTCCATATTGATCTTTTATGTCTGCAAAACAAACAAATATTATATAGCTTATTTCAATGCAATTAAGCTCCTATTTTACTAAACATCTCTTTCAAACCAATAGAAAAAACAATGCAAGGAATGAAAGTGTTCATGAATACTGTACTTATAATGTAAATCATCATTATTATTACCGTATTAATTTCTTGATGACAACTTATATTTGTATTATTATAATTAAACATTATTTTATGCTTACTAGGTTAACATAACATGTTATAATATTGCATTTGCATCTATTTAATCTGAATAAGGTGAGAGTGCAGATCTTAATGATACAAAGCAACCTTATCACCTTACTTTCATATCTGGATGAAATCCCATTATAAAAATTGAAGCTACATTAGTCTACCATAATCAAAAATCATCAAAGCACTCCTCAAATACTCAATGCCAGCAAATTGTTTCTCTTTATGATGTACTATAGTATATTAATCAACTGAATTAGCAGTTACTAATGCATTAATTTCAGGTGACATCATAATCAAAATAATGTGCACTATTTGTTACTATACCAGCTACATTTATATTATATAACACTTTCAATGTAATATAAATTATTATGGATAAAAGAGGTCATTAAAAATCAACATAGGGAGCAGGAAGCATTTTACACAGAAGAGTAGTGAATTGTTGAGGTTGTCCCTTACTGTACATAAAAAGTGGCTCTTTGAGTAGGCATTGCACATGAGCGAGTACATTCATATTTAAAGTAGCTCAGTCAATAGTCAGTAACCCGTACAACAATATCTAAACTAAAGTACACAAAACAATATATATAAATAAATGCACAACATAAAATGACAATTTATGCCCCTGACAATTTAACAAATAAAATTTTTAAAATAAATAAATAAATATAAATATAGCAAATTTTTTTCAATAAATCTTCAAAATCTTTCAAGCCAACAACTTAGATACTGTAAGTAACAATACAATTGTTTTACTTTTCCTAATGCTTCTGTTCCTCTATACCAATCCTAATTTGAAATTTATTTCTATGGTGTAACATCTAAATGTATAGAATTGAAATACTGTGTATGATGCATGGCCATGAATTTAGCTGGTCGAAATTAAAACATAATGAATTACAAAAACTAGTGCAAATACATTTTTTTTATCATTTCCTTAAAATGATGCAAGACTGAGTGTTATGATTTTTCATCATTTATGATTAAACGTACACTATTTAATTTTAATGGTTTTTTTTTTATAATACAATTATATTTTTTTTTTAGAGAATTTAAAATAATAAAAATTATTAAAATATACAAAATTTATATTTACCGGTAGGTGTTTATGTAGTATAAAAAATACAATACGATAATATTAGTAACTTATTCAAATTTAATGAATTTGAGAGTCCAAAGTCATAATTTAATTAAAACTTTTGTGCAAACAGGTGTATGGTGTATACTATTACTACGGAACACCCCATATACTCCAAGGCTATAAATGCAGAGATCACAATTGTGCATGTGACCCCACTATTTGCTTTAAGCTCATCAAACCAAATTAGCATATAACTGTAGTTAAATAATCTCCTTAACTAGAGAACATTCTCATAAAGTACTTAAAGTACATACTTTAGATTTAAGCTATTACAATTAAGCTTTTAACTAGAAAAATAAATATCTGACTTGCTAAATATTACACGTTTTTTATATAAAACCCTTTGGACTAAATTCCTATTAGTACTACCAGCATGATTTACCTACCATTATTAACAATTATTTTAAAGTTCTATTATTAAAATATTCAATTGTAAATCCCTAGTATTTTTAGGGTGCATATCATAATTTGTTTTCTGTTTAATTGGTATAGTTTTTGTGAAGTGAATTTTGAAGTAAACTGGTATATATTTGTAACAATAAAATATTGTTGACAACATATTATGTATACTTTAATTATATTACTTTTTTTTCTTCACTACACTAATACTAAGGACAAGGTGCTAAATTGTAGAGTAGGCCTTACCAAGCCAAGAAACCTACCAAAATCCCTATAAATTTGTAACACAAAATTCAAGATACATTGTAGTAAGACAGTAAATATATACATGTAGTAACTTCAGATAAATTCAAAGTATGAAATTTGTTGAGAATTTAATGATTCCTTTGTCTACAACATTACAAGCAGAACAACAGAGCTGTTAATAACTGGAACAACCACTTACATCTTCAAATTCAACCATGCAAAAATCAGGCAATTATACCACGTTATGACAAAATTCTCCCACAATCCTTTGCACACCCATCATAGTTAAATTTATATTAACCAGCTGTTATCCCTAGAAGCAAACTACCAGATACCTTTACCACAGGACTAGACCATGGTATTATATGACATGCAATAGCATATATCCCTTAGCAATAAATGGAATAATCTAAAAAGTATTAACATACTATTGAATGTGTTGAGAACTAAAAAGTATATTTTAGAATTTTCAAAATTAAGGAAAAGTTCCAAATGTTAATTTTTTTTTCTATACTGCTAAACAAGCTAAACTCATTTGGTAACTAGTTAAGTACGGTAAATACAAATTAATGTTACCAACGTTTTTTAACTTTGTTTAATTAGTTAAACAAACATATTCGAGTTCACTTGTATTAATTAATGTCGGATATGGCATGCAATATACATTTAAGTGAATTTCTCAAAATGTAAGATAAACAAAAACACAAGTTGTAACTACAGGTATGTATGACAGCAAAATAAAATAAAATAAAATAAATAATAATATATTTATTTAGCATATTTTGTATTTCTTCATGAAAATGCCCAATTACTGTATGAACCATTTACAGCCAAATCACCAAATAGTTAAGAATACTGTAGAAATATGCATTACAGTAACTAGTTATCTTTTTCAGCCATTACTGTAATTAGGACTTTCCATCTGATTATTGTTGAACAATAATTTTGTTTATTTCATTTTCATCTAACAGCAAATGATTCGCCTCTCAACTTATATGACAAATAATGCCCCAAGTAGTCTACAAGCTACAGCTCCACTGCTGGAGCATGCGTCTGTACACATTTAATGCATTTTTCATTTCTTATCTGAACAGTTTCTAAAGCTTTAAAAATAATGATTGGCTTGGCTTATTATTCTATTGAGGCAATTGATTAAGATACACTATCACTTAAAACATATAAGAAAAAACACTCAACCAATAATTAAAATAACACTTTGAATTTCTCATTTAAAAAGACCAGCAATTTATTATATCTTATAAATAAAAAAAAATATACCAATACAGAAAATTAGGGATTTGCCTCTATTTTTTTTTTATTGGAAGAATACAGAACTTGAATTCTCAATTGTTTAATTCAAATTAATTGTAAAACAATTCAGACTACAGTATGAACCTACACTTATTGGGCAGGGCATTAGAATGCCTTCATTTCCATAACAGAATTTTCATGATAACTAGTAGCTACAGTACACCTAACCCTAACCTTAAAGACAATCAAATTTGATTTATAGGGTAGCCAGTAAAATAGACTTTGTAATTATTTAACACACACAGTGTTTGACACTGCAGTAGTCAAACTTATGACATTTTAATAAATTAAATAAGCTTTGAAAAAATACATAAAGTATGGTAAGACACTGCTAAGGTAGGCAAACATTCAATAAAATATTTAAACTGCTTACAGTAGTAGTAGCACACAAAGAAAAGCATTTCTATAAGAAACCTTTTTTGATGACAACAATTTTACAGCAATCTGATGAAGGATGCTTGATACAGTGCTTGCTATACCAGCAAAATTCAAAATACTGTACTGTACTGTAGCATCCTGCCAAGTGCTTCAACCTCAGTAAAAACCACAAACAGAACATTTGCCAAACCTTACTCAACAAAACTACAATAACCTTGGAAGCAAACAATATAAATAAACATAATTACAATTAAATACATTTACATAAGATAGATGAAACTAGAGATATTAAAACATTTACAAAATATTATTATAATTATACTGTGGAAAATCATTCATTATTTAATTCACATGTGCTTTTAAGGATTACGAATCACTTTAACAAGTACTTGATAAATAAACTGCCTCTTTAATGAACTAAACTATTTAGCGGTCAATATTATTTTTAATTTCTATCTAAATTACTTTTATTACTGTACACACTATCAATCAGTACAGTAGTATTTTTAATACTGTTAATTCATTATGATTATCTTATCTTTTATTTCAACAAACCAATTCGCAGCATATAAGCTGAATTACAAATAATAAATTAATTATAAATTAATAATAGTATTATCACCATCTAAAACAGTTTCTACTATATTGTACAGACCACATTTTGGAGCCTCATAAAAAAATTTACTACAGCATTTGCGATTTTGTCAAAAAACAATCAAAAATGATGGTCTGAAAGATTGTTGTGAAAAGCCCAATAAATGGAAACATAAATGGCAAAATACGTTAATGAACATTCATCTTACTTCTTTTATAAAAAAAATATTTCTTAGTATTTACCACTCCGTCTGTTTACCACTAAAGAAATAGTATTACCTCACCAAACTATAATTTCAAATCCCAGATGTAAAACTAACAATTAATTTCATTTGCCATTTTTACTGCAAAATTTCTCCTCTTTCTGTAGTGATGTCATGCAATACTTAATGGATGTGAAAACTATGCATACCACAACTAGCTGAGATGATCCCCACTTAACACTGTAAAATGTGTATGAAGAAGCACACACTGAAGGTTAGAGGAAGAAGTAGAGGCTTGGCAATTCAACGGAAGCTTTGGGTCGACCAATCACAAAGAAAACACATGCCATACACTGTATATTGACAACACTTCAAATAAACCATGTTTAAAACTCCCTTCTAACAACTTTAAGTTTGATACTTGAAGCATAAATTTATTCATAATTTTTTTTTTTAATTTGGTTAATTTAGAAAGTATTTATAATTAGTAAGCAACAGGATATTATCCTGTGGCTTTTGTTTAAAATGGATCCAGCAAAAGTTGAACCTAATAGTAAACATCCTGTCTTATAAGATTAGCACTAAGTATACAAGAAGAACCCTTACACAATTTAACTGCTGCATACAGTATCAAGAAGCCCTGATGGGGTTATACTATACAAGGCAGTGTTGGAAACATACTGAGCAATGTTAGGGGGAATGCTAATGTCTAGGGGGAATGCTTGAATACTGTAAACTAGGTAATAGAATCATAGTAGGAAGTTCTTGTATCAAAGAATTTTACTTGGACTGTAGCCAGCACCTATTGGTTAACAATGTCTTATGAACAACTGTTTTTGGTTTCCAACAAAGAAATTTGACAATTTCCATACAGAACTTATAAACGATGCTAAATTCAGATTTAAAAATTACCAATAGGAACTTTTTTATAATATTAATATTCTAACATCTGGTAGTGTTAAGCTAACTAAACCGAAATTATATCATCATTCCCATAATTTCATTACTGTTTCAATGCATTATCCAAAAGCATTATTACCCGAAGATGGTTTTCAGCCAACACGATCCTATAGAAAACGCAAAGCAATGACGCGCGTACACAACTTTTAGATCATTTTTAACAATGATCCAGTGACAATCATTAAACGTCGCGTTGTCTGGAGCTCACAGAGAGGGGAGTTGGATGCGTTGCATGATGGTTATACAACACAGTGAGTGCCTACTGTAGCTCAAGAAGAAATAAAAGAAAATACATTTTGAATCATTAAAGACTAATATTAAAATAGTTCAAAATCACAAAAACACTAGTTTTATGCGTCATTCCATAATATGAAAAAAAATAGTTTTTAATCAATAACTTGTATAAATTTTACAAAAATGCAAGTGTTCAAATAAAGCCATTAACCAATTATGTCCAAATAATGACTAAGCATAACCTCTTTTCTGACCACTTAAAAGGATTTCAGCTCACAGAATTTGACCACTTGTAAAAATTCTATGATGAAATGATAACAGTATTAACTAACTTGGTTAAAATGTGTGCAAACTAAATGAAATTAAATACAAATGTTTTTTTCTTATTTCAAAAAAAAAGATAAAAAATCCTCTCAAAAAATAACAAATTTCCAAATCAGAATTAATAAAATAGCTAGGCATTTTATGCTGACCTCTCTGATTCCCATCATACTGATAGGAACACTGCACAAAAAACCCTCAAAACTAAAATCTAAGGGATCATGTCAAATGTTTAATCCCAGACTATATTTTCTTTGTACTACAAACTATGTTACACATATGCTTAATTTACAAATTGCCCACAATTGAACTAAACAATATGGGTATCAAGTTTAAACAGACACTACACAGAATAGCTAAGGCTTATGAAGATCATGGTGTAGCTATTATGTTCAAAGCAAATTACTCAACTATCAGAGGTGATCCCTAACAGCAAAATAAATCTAGATGCAAGTTTTGTATACTGTATTATTCCCATATTTATAATTCTGTAAATATCTTCATTTTAATTACCAAGAATGTTAACTCTGATATGTTATTTGTACACTGGTGGATTACTGTACATCTTTCTTCAATGTGAACTTAAATAAGTAAAAAATCAATATTGTTATCATACCTATTACAACAAACACTGATTACATAATGGCGTCTCTTCATTCCTTTTTAAAGCCACTTCTATTCATGTTTGTGTACCACAATATAAATTTATTAATATAAGGCAAAATAAAAAAACAATGTTTTTCATTTTTGGGTATTGCTTTTTTGGAGGATAGCTAGCAGGTAGACACTTTTTTCACAAGTTCTAATGGTAAAAATTAATTAACTCTCATTAATAATTCATGATTCAGAAGTTCAAATAATTAGGAAAACATGTCAAGCAAATTTAAGACTTTGCATAAAATGGAACATTTAACTTTCAACAAAAATATAGGGATTTATCAAGCATCATTACTACAGTAGATACCGGGCACCAAAAATATTACACTACTGAATGACCTTGTTCATGTTAATGTTATCTTAATTAATTTCACTTTCACTCCTCAATTACTGTAACATAATCATGTAATCATAATTTCTTTTTAATATTTACATTTTTAATTCGTATTATCTTAAGTAAGAATTAGAATTGACGAAATACTCACAAAGGTACTTTGTGAAGCTTCAGCGACGACTTGCTCGCATCATCTTCATCATCTGTTTCGCCACCAGAACTACTTTCTGTTGCATCAGAGTCCATAGAATTCTCCAAGTGTTGAAGATTTGCATTCAGGTTGCCTATAACAACCTGCATGTCACTAGTTTTTGCTTTTAGAAATTCCTCGGTTATATGAGGGGATCCCTCACAGCCTGTTCGCCCTGAACTTTCACTACCACCACCTGGCAAAAACCCTGAATTAACTTTGGTATCTTTTGGGCTTACTTCTAATGTTTTGTCCTCTACCAGTCTTTCAGATGATACTTCATCCTCAATTGGATCTTTTAGGAGTTCGCACAATTTATACTCATGGTCAACAGCATCACCTATCTGTTTTTTAACGTGACTACTAATTTGGCGTGATTGTATTCTTCTAATTCTTTTCCTCAAGACAATCGCCTGATGTTCTAATTTCTTTTGCCTTTTCAATGAGTCTGTTCTCTTTGCATTAACTTTCATTTCTTTTTCTTTACTTGCATCACATTGTTTCTCAATTGGGTCCTCAAGTTCTCCTGTAATGTTTGGAATGTGGCTACTGTCTTCTACATGCGCATTTTCAGGCATTTCGCTGTCAATATTTTCAACATCAATGTCTGAAATCCTTGTATTAGTAGAAATATCTCTTTCTAATTCCCCTAAATCATCTTCCTTTTTTGTGTCCCGCAATCTGGTCAACGTTGTAGTTGTCTCTGGCGGCATGGTTGCTGAATTTCCGTTTGAATGTCCATTTAAATTTGTTGGTAGATCAATTTTCTTGAGCATGCTAGTTCCAGTCATGGAACTAGTTGAATTTATGCTCGTTTTCGATAATGGTGTAAGATCTATTGATATTTTTTCTAAGATTGTGTGATGATGAGAATTACCATTTGACAAAATAAGTTTGCTCCCACCATTTTTACCGTTCAATTTGAGTCTTTTGTCAGAAACTATGTGCTTCTGTTTTCCATTACCATTGACCACATGGTGAAATGTCTCAAGAGTCGTGGCTCCTTTGATAATCTGTGAAGCAGTATCCAATTCTAGCGTACGAGAAAGTATGTTCCCTCCACTACCCAGACCTATCGCTGGATCTGATGGACTTCCCGGATTTGCCCGCAAACTGTTATTGTTTTCTGGGTTCATTGGTGAGGCTGGCAGTTTGCAACTGCGAGGATGGGCTGCTGCATCAGTAAGGGCCGGAGCCATTGCAGCAGTGCACCATAGCCTCAATGTAGCCTTTTTGGATGTAAACATATAAACATAAACAACAATATAAATGGTTCATTATATTTTTATAAATTTCACATATTATTGTTTGCTTATTGCACACTAAAAAAAATTGTAAGGAACTTCAAATTGAAGCTTCCTTCTATAATTGTCAATCTTATCCACCACCCTCCACTATCTTGTCATCTTCATTTCACCCTCCTCAGTCCTCCAGACAGACCCGGCCAACCAAGGCACCACGTGATTGTCGAATTTTGTAAACTTTGCCGCGGTATAATGATCCCTTCAAAAATACGCTCCTTTTATTAAAAATATGCACCTCAATTTATGTTTAGACCGAGCCTGTAGAAGCTTCTATCGATGGAAACTAATTCACATTAATAATACAGACTCTGCTTTGAAAACAAAAGGTTTCTTACGATGATTCAAAGACAATAACAAAATTGGATCGGTGAAGTGAAATGGACCACGTGACTTGACCTCCACGTTCCCGAATCCCTAAATTTTACGTCGTCTTTTTCCACAGGATCACGCCCTGGTTGAAATACGAAAAATGCAATCCAGTGCTTTATTTCACCGAACGAAACATATTACCATTCTAATATAAGCGTCACAAATGTATGTGTATATCCACTAGTTATGAGCCCATAAAGTCGACGAGGTCTTTTTCTCTGTTTTCGTTGATCCCTGCAATTGGGCTCCTTTACTCAATATGGCGGACCTCTTTCGTACATTCATCGTATTATTTATCGCGTGTGGTAAGTATACAACACACAGTACGATCGTCACACAACAAAAAAAAATATTGGCCTTATTTACATACCAGCATTACGTCAATGCTCATACCCCTCTAAGGACAATTGCTTCATTGGCCAGTTTCGCTATTACTACTGGATGACATACACCCTCTGCTCTTATCTGAGATAAGAGTACAGGCGATATTACTGTAGACCAATATTAAATAATTTCTTTGCACTTTCATTCAAAATATTTAGAATACATCGTATGTAATGACAATAACAGCATCAATAGCATAGCAACATCATTAATAATTTTAGATTTTTATAGTGAGTGGCGGATCCAGGAATTCGAAATAGAAGAGGCCCGAAATTTCATAGATTTAGGGTCCACCCACCTCAGCCCCACCATGGTTGAAGAAAAATGATGATTATGGCACCTCTAGATGGCCGGAAATGGCACTCTTTTTGTTTTATCCATTTCTTTTTATAATTTTGGAAAAAATTAGTGAATCTGCCACTGGCGTTTTTAGCAACTATGTATGACGTAATTATTCTCCGTATATTGATTTGATCTTCTTCTACATCGACTTTCATCTTTTATAGATGTGTATGGTTTCTCTTCAACTCATTTTTAACAAATAAAATGCTGTATTATAGTTTGGTGTTTATGGCACCCTTGAAATTCATGACTGAATTGTTTATCATATAATTCTCTTTTTAACTATGGAATTTGAATACTTTTTGTCATTATAAGCTTGACTTTCATTTAATCTAAATACTCGTGACTCTCACAGTTGTATTAGAATCTTTTTTCGGGTGGAGTGAAATCAGAAAACGGCAAAGCTCCAGTTCGCGCGCTGCGTAAGCGATTCGATAGAGCATACGAGACAAGGATAGGGTGATGAAACCGTGTGCGAAGTTGAAATTTTAGTCACAGTCCTACATTAGAAAACTATATATTTTTAAAGATTCAAGATTGCTATATATTTTCATCATAAACGAAACATGTGATATGTAATTATTTTTGCTTGCTGATATAATGAAAGACATAGGCAACAATAAAAGGCATATTTAGTAAATATTCAAAACAACAGATTAAACGGTGTATATATATGTATTAGTAGTATGCACTAATTATCGATAATTAATGCTAGAACATCTGTTCAAGTAGGCCCTGTGTTGAGAAAGAAAACTTGCTAATCCAGTATAAAGTTTTTTTTAGACCGAATTAACGTAAAATACAGTAGTTTTATATTTATTATAAAGTAAGCCCAGGTTGAATTGTTTTTTTGGGGTTACATACTTGAAGTCCTCCAAATGGAGTGTAGCCTAGTCTAGTCTAGCCTGACGTAGGCCTACTTTAATGGCAGGGTATTAATTATTGATCATCTAATAATGCTGATTCATAATTTTATCAGTCAAATATGGATGAATATGTCAATAAAGAAAAAAAAATCGACCACACGACATCGCCCAGCTGCATAAAATAAAGCTTTGCCTAACACTGGAGGTAGGCATCTCCCAGGCTTCGTTCGTTGCAGTTTGTGTAAAAAAAAAAAAAATTAAATTAAAAAAAAACACGTTTTTATAGAACCAAGATAGGCCTACGTGTTTATAACGAAATTTTACAACTACAGTACAAATAATATTGCAACGTTTAAAAATGTATTGTCCCATTTTAAAGATAAAAAAAAATCATAAAAATATTTTTTGAAATTAACTTGCCCATTTTGAAGTACGGTAACATAAAAATTATCAACTTGAACATAGGAATTAGTGTTTTTTAAAAAATGTCTACTCATCAGTTTACAGCAAAAAATGATAGAAACAATTCCAGTCACTAAGTGTTTTATTATTTTTATTATAATTTGTTGGTTTAAAAATCAGAGTACACATTTTTAAATTCAATAATTTCTAGTGCACAAGTTAATAATTTGTATGTTATTGCAAAATGAGCAAGTTTATTTTAAACTAATTTTTTATGATTTTTTGACATTAGCAAGGAAAAATACATCTTTAAAAGTTTTGTTTGCTGGGCTCCGGCTGTGAACACATAGGCCTACTTGGCTTACAAAATCGTTATTAATTTCATAATATGTAAATCCAGATATAAATATAGTAAAAGTGATTCACGTGTAGGCCTGGTATATATAGACCTAAATGTAGGCCTATATCTGATATTTGATAAAGCCCCATTCACAAAATGATAGTTTTATCTACATTCGAACAGCGAGTCTCCCAAATTCAAAAAAACCACAAAATATCAAAGATGGCAAAATTAGTTGCTTCTTTGGTATAACAATAAACGATCATTATGTTTCAATTTTTCACAAAAGTGTTAACTTGCCCAGTTGAGTATAGACCTAATTATTTCCCCACACCCTTTATATCATTTATCATAACGAATGCTTCTTTTCGAGATAGTAGGCCTACAGTATAGGCCTACACTACACATGACATGAATTAAAAAAAACCCAATAAAACATCAAGCTTGGTTTATACAGTAGTTTAGGTGATTTAATGTCAGTTAAATACACTCCATATACAGATTTATGATACAGTGACGGTATTTATTGTTTTATAGTACAAATTCACAAAATTTACAGCACTCATTTTGAAAGTAAAAAAATTTATGTTGTCAGTAGTTTGGCCCATTTGATAGCATGCCTAATCTTAGAAGAAATTTAAGGTCAGTTCCGGGGGAGTACCCTACCCCGTCTAAACTGTTGTCCACTGTAAGATAAGATCACAAATTGCACACTCTTCTCTCACGTCATCCTGCCTGTAGCCTTTGGGTCCCCCGGTCAGAACACTTCCGGCGCCACCACTGCCCCAAGACTTGAGGTGACTTAGGCAAAACAAAAACAAAAAACCCGCACCTCTAGCATCTATGGGTACACCCCAATTTCCTCGGACGGTCTCGTACCCATTGGACTGTGATTCGTGATTGTTACAGGTGCTGCCCCAACCCCCGGCAAAGACGAAAAAATCCCGGATCTCCTGAGGAGGCAACCTGATTTCTTTGCCTTCATTCAGTGTTTTGTGTTCCACTGCTACCAGCTATAGTGCGTCAATTCAAGCCCGATAGGCAGGATATCTAAAGGGGGTTATAATTTTTCATAAATTGCACTTTTCCACACTCACCACATCCCCACTATGGTTGGTGAAGATTTCAAGGATAAAACACTTTAGATCATGTCCAGAAATGGCACTCCATCATAAAACAAAAAATGGAAAATTTCAAATGTTTGGAGTTAATTTCAACAACTTCCATGCAAAAGGCACTTTTTACTAAAGTTTTCATTTAAAAGGGCATTTCAAGAACTGGCTTGCAATTTAAACATGACTGTAAAATTGTGACCAGAAAGTTTATCTTCTTATTACGATAGGCCTTTGCCCCTATATTTCAAAACCACAAATAATATGATACGTTTGTTTGGTTACCGTTTAACCTGAAAATAGGGGCGGCATACCAAGCTGTAGGATGACTCAAGCAGCCGAGCATGCCACTGCCGATTCCTGGGGGCCACAGGCTACAGTCGTCCTTGTATCTTGCATTGGCCTCACGTGATTTTTGGCTTTATGTGACGAAATACTATTTATTTATTATTAATATAGTTAGTGAAATATTGACAAACCTATCACATTCATCGTTCAAATGGCTAAGAGTTACATTTACAACCTCCCATGGGAAAAATAAATGGAATGGAGTTTCATGTAAAACAATGTGGATGATTTAAAAGCAAATTTCACACGCAATTTTTTCCCTGCTTTAGCTTTTGGTGACACGTTTAAAGCTAAACGTGTTTAGCATTCCTTACGGTATGTATTTGACATGACGTCAGAAACCTAAACACGTTTAGCTTTTAAACTTGTCACAAAAGCGGGATAAAATTGAGTGAGACGTGTCGTAGTTATCCGTGATTTGTCATTAATATGCCCTCCTTATTATATGAAAGAAATGTTGACCTTGTATGATTCAGAAATTATATAGGCCTAATGTCTGCACATTTTTAAAAAATGCGCTGTATGATGATGAATTTTAGAAGAAACAGGGCGTACGAACCCTCAATCCACAAAAAAAAAAAAAAAAAAAAAAAAAAAAAAAAACCGAATAGGCCTATCATTTTTTAAGATAGTTGAGAATGTATACTGAATATAAAATTTGATATTTTCTGCTAAAAAAATTCGTTTTAACAGCAGCATAGGTGGCGCCAGTGGGAGAGCTGGTTCCCCTCCCCCATCGGGGAGAAAAACCACAATTCGTGATTTTTGGATGAGTCATAGCTGTAGACACACGCTCCTGGGAGTCTATTTTTTATTTGCAGTAAAACTAAAATTGAGATAATAATAAACAGGCCTATGGGAAAATCCCCATCGGGACCTTCCGATTATCGTTGAGATCCTACCCCCCGACCCTACCAACTGAGCTATGAAGCCAAGTGGTAAACATTACACCCGTGGATTTTACCATTAGGACACGTTTTTTTCTCAAAGTATTGCGTAATACACAATGAATAGGCTAATAGTAAATCACATGAAAGTAACTTTGGTATGGAGACACCTCCGCTGGTGTTAATTAAAGATGATAACCTATATTTGAGGAAAACGTGATTGAAATGTGTGAGGTACAAGCAGTCTGTGTTGCTATCACACCGAGTAGCGTATAAAGTTGTCGTCATTCTGGTTTGAAGAGCCATTTCATATAGCCCGAGACAACTATAACTATAAATTTGTGTGAGAGTAAAGATTGTAAGGCACAAAATTATACATGAAATTAAAAAACAATAGGTTCCGTTTCTATTACATGGTATCCAGGCCAAGAAATTCAGGAGCAAGCTGATAATGATGATCATGATCATGATGAATAGACGACTATGAATGACAACGGGAATGATGATGATGACGATATGCCTTGTTTGAACACAATTAGACTTACAGACACAATCAACAGCAATTGCACACAAATTATTTTAATGCCAGTTGGAAATGTAACCATTCTTGAATAGCTATCATCAAATTGAATATAGGCATGAAAATTGTTAA